GATGGCTTAACACCACTTGCTGTTTGGTTTACATCCGAGAGTTCTTCATATAGTCCAATAAATTAGGTCTGGTGGAGTAGGGAGCTTGACGCATATGCTTTAGGTTAACTATGAATGGTCAGTTTGTGCAATAGCAACAGGCTTTTGCAAGAAATTTCAAATTATAATAATATTTATAAAAACCTAATTTCATAAATCTATCTTAAATTTAGGCAGATTAAAGTTGGCTGAAAGTGGCTAACTACTTTCTGTATTCGTATCCGAATACTAGATGGAATTGTAATCTCTTAAAAGCACAAAATAGAGTGTTCAGTAGTAACGATTTAATTGATTTCAAGGTGGGTGTCGTCGCAAACCGACCTCTTGTAATCAATCAAATTCTTGACATCTTCACAATCAAAGATTAATGTACCAGGATGGTTTTTCCACAGTTGTAATGAGTAGGAATCACCAAGTACGGTTTAAGGATAGCTAGATACGTGTCGATGTCATTAGTTGGCGGTAGCACCATATCACGAATTGTCGAAGATTTGAATTCACAGGTTATTAGACTCCAACCTAGCTGTTGCACAGTCAACAGACTCGTCTTGTTGTAACCTGAAGATCCTATGCACTATTGAAGAGTCACTAAGTAAGCCAATGCCATTTTGGCGACGGAATCTACCACCAAAACAGGATAGTCCATTCATCTTTCTTTATGCGTTTGGCGTGGAAGGTTACGTTCAATCAACCATGTAACCATACAATTTTGTCTACAAGATTTTATTTTCTATATTTCGACCAGATTTTATCATAGATCAATTATTTCTCATTATGATGTCAGTATAGTTAGTTATGTGTAGTTTCATAATTTATGCTTATAAGTTTTACTGCATTATTTAAATTTTATGTGCAGAGTAACGACATAAAGACCAGTAAATTATTGATAGTAATAATAATCACGAGGTGTGCACCTTACAATCCACATTTGACACCATGATAGACAGCCTATGTTTATATATATGTATATATATACGTTTAAACCATATCTCTTCCTTCCTCATGATCTTAGTTCATATTGAAAGCTCTTTGTTTATTTTCTCCACTAGGCTGGCCAATATAATAAACTTCAATCAATTTCAAGCAGATCACATGGTTAAGCATAGAAGCAGAGAGAGAGAGAGAGCAAAGGGATTCAGAAAATATGATGTGTATTTAACATCAATAAAAATTACATAAATGGTACAGAAACACTAACATGTTTGTGTATGTATGTAAATGCATAAGAAAGAAAGGAAGAAAGAAAAGCTGTTCATTTCGACTGTTTCAATGCTTGTGTAGAAACCGGAATTCTCACATAGTATGCACTAGTTATAGTTTCCACTCTGACATTTGGCTTAATGAGTACTTGAAACTGTGTACAGATGCGTTCAGTTCACATATTAATTATCTTGCATAAAGCATACCACTATCCCCTTTTTTACATGTATTTGACATTATGTGTGTGATTGATGGTTTTTCTAACAATTTTTTATTTTTACTGTTTTGTATTTTGCTGTGTACTTTTTAAAGTAGGCATTTATTTTGCCAGAGTAGAATATTTTTCATCCTTTTATAAGTTTGAACTCCCGGTGTATCGAGTTTGTTTCACATATCATGGTGGACTATAGACGGTTTTCTACGTGGTCAACATTCAACCACTGCATTGCTAGTAGGAAGCTTTCTCTGTAGAAATGTATATAAGTTGGCCATCAGGCGATGTGCAGTTATATTTAACCTTGTGCATAAACTTTCACTGAGATGCAAAGTTGTATTCCCATCAGATTACGATGTTAAAAGAAAATGCTGTTTGAGCGAAAAATTGTTTTCACTTGACTATTGTATCTGGAATGACTATCATGTTGTTTTACCTTGCCTTTGTACGATAATGTTAATGGATTTATAACCATAAAGCCTGTAGACAATTAATCGGTCAAATGTTTCTCAGTGATGTTGAAGATCGAGGTGAACACTGTGAGAGGGTACAATGAGTGTAGAATTGAAAATGTTCTGGAGTATCCACTCATACTTTCCATTAATACTTTTACCGAGAGATTAAACATTTTATTAAATCTACTCATGCATAGTGTTAAATGAAAACGAAAAATTTCGACATTTTGGTCACAGAAGGAGTTTTTATTAAATAGATTTGAAGGTATTCAAACGCTACAAGTTGTGTTGTTAATGCCTACCTATATTATATTTGTGTACATCCTTGGTATCATTAGTTTCAGAGAGATCTCATGCATAATATTCGATGATGAAACATGATTAAGTGAACATTACTGTGGTAAGCAAATCATGTCTTATCATCCTATCTAATGTTTGAAATGGTCAATGAGTAAGTACAGTGTCTAATTCAGTTGATATTAATTACAGTCTGCCAGTGGTGGTTTTCAGCCTTACCGAAAGTTCATATTTCGGTGTGCTTCATAGAATCAGCATGCGTTGTACGGAATTGTTTTTCCTAATAGTTGTTAAAGATTTTATTTCACCGGATGAAACAGTGTAACTGTTACTGGTTTCTTTTGGTTTTACAGGAAACTTGTCTGTACTAATAATCTTCGTATAATTTGTATTTTATAGTGGAATATATGAGTATATGATTGTTCAGTTCGATTTTTTTTTCGATTTTTCTCCTCCTGACTCTCACATTGGATGCGCCAGATGACTTCCTGTTGCACATACATTAATTAGCTTTATTTTGTTACTATCATTGATTAGCTGTCCACTAGCCAACTATTTTTCCCCTTGATTAGACATTAACAAAAATTTCCCTTTCATTCGTTTTTCTTGTTGGATTCAGGATTTCTGATGACTCTTATTTCATTTTCAGTTCTAGTCGGTTAAACTGTCAGGAAGCCGTAAAAACTGATGTCATGTTTTTATCGTTACTCTTTATCAATGCATTTCCTTAGCGTTGACAAGAAAACACAACCAATTCAGCCTTCAGGGATGCGAACATGTGTCACTTTCTGCCGAGAAAGTATACCTATCTATATTCTGTCGGTTAGATTGCGCTGAGTGTACACGGTTTCAGTTTAAAAAGACTGTGTAAGACTAAGATTTGGGTATCCATTGTATATATGGTCAATGAACTCCAGTTAGGACCTTAAAAATGCGGCTTCTGTGTCAGCTACCAATTAACGTGACTTATTACAGAATTATATTCTGCTGTATATATCGATTTGTGTATGACTCGTATGCAGTATCCCTTGACTTCAAATGGGAAATTCGTTGACCGCTAATACTCATATTTCATTTGTTTGAGTATCTCATTCATTTTTATAGTATGAGAAGAACAAAAACCTATTTATGGTAGAATTATCTGTAATGATGTTTTTATTTAGTAGACTACTATCAATATAATGCGTGATGGTTGAATGTGAAATGAAATGAGTGCTACAGGCAATGAGTTGAAACCCAAGGTCGTATGAAATCTAATCTATGTGTCAATTCGCTGAATGGTTGCTGTGGCTTTGTTTTCAGCCCATCAGCTGAGTGGTAATAAACTCACCTTATAACCTCCTGAAGCTCTTGGACTTGACCTCTGTTTCAATGGTGCTCTCATACTACTGAAGGATCCTGGGCTAGGATAAAACAACTGTTCATTGCTCTTTGATTTTCATGGATTCCTTAACTTTTGGTGGTTTGTGACAAAATCTAGATTAAATATGTTATATTCCTTAATTAAATACCACCTCAAGTTGTCACTTGCTATATTAATAGATTAAAAGCGGGAGTAGCAGAAAGGTTACACTTTTAAGTGAAAATGACTTCTGAAGGAAAAATGACGAAGAGGGGAGAAAATAAAAAGTATCACCAGTGGGAGAGTGCAAGACATTATAAGATACTAATCGAACAGTATCGGTATTTCATGATGTCGGTTCGTCGGAGATGATTAGTTGATAAGGCACTTTGTCTTTTCTTCCCCCTTTTGATCGATGTGATCTGCAAAAACCCCACAGCAAAGTCTACATTTTCAGATGCAATACTATTCACTATATTGTAGAGTTACTTGATTTAGTGTTATGGATAGAAAAGGAAACGAACATATTTTGCACCACAAGATAATAGGCTATTTACATGATGTCTTGATTAGAAAAATGTTCACGTACGTAGACGGTGGAGTTGACATTTTTCAACCTCGAATAAAAATCTCAGTAAGCTTCAGTCTCACTCTTCAACGTTCTCAGTACTATTAGTATTATTTTACTATATAGTTGAACTACTGAACAAACTGTTGAGTGTAAATCGATCAGCCTGGTGATGAATGAATGAGAGAGAGAGAGAGAGAGAGAGGAAAATCTAAGACAAAAGAAACTGCTCACTTTAATTGTATTAATAGGATAGAGACAATGGTGTTGTAACCATCGTTTATAAAGCCTTGTATGCCTCTTTATTCTCTACAGCAGTAGCGAATGAGTTCATCCTTTCTTCTCTTATATTTTTTTAATTGAGCAGACTTTATTCACATGTGCTTAAGGCAACTTTAAGGTGAAGTGACTTATGTGCTCACCACCTTTGCTTATTTTCTTCACTAACTGACCTTATAAGCGTTCTCTGCATTCTACTAATTATGTACGCGTTACTAGCATTCTTATTACTACTACTACTGTTACTAATACCACTACTCTAATGGGTGTTTACCCTAAATACTCCGTGTTCAACGTTTTGTTTTATTTGTCTTAGAAGTCATTAGAGTTGTTATTATTTGAAAATCAAAAACGTTTAAGGTCTTTGTTCAATTTTATTTTTTCCCCTCACTGTCTGTCGTAGTAAGTTTCCTCCATGTCTTCTAATCGATTCACCTATGTTGAATTGTAAAATATTCTGTTCTATACTCTATTCCCTTTCGTTTCATTTTCATGCATTTTGATGAATCATATATATATATATATATATATATATATATATATGCACCTCATATAAACCATATTAACAGTGATATCATTTTTAATTTTGAAATTTTCGCTTTACAGGTGTATGTCGGGACCGCTATAGCCTCAGATAAATCACACTCGCCTAACATGGTGTGTTTACCAACCTCCAAATGGCCAGATATTGAAACGTATCATATTATGTTTTGGCTGCCGAAAGTTGCAGTTGATAAAAACAAGAGGACATCTGAAGGATGGTTAGCTTGTCGTCCATGTTTACTTACATCCTCTAGAAATAATAATGTTAACAGTCAGAACTCAACTCATAAAATTAGTGAAGTATATCTTAACAACCATCTATTGACAATCCCACTGACTTCAAATTATCAAGAGACAGTGTTTTGGTTGAAGTCTGGTGATGTACTTCGTCTTGGGAAGGGAGCACGTCAGCTCAAAGTGTGGTCGTATTTAGAGCTGCAGTCAAATATAACTACTGGATTACACACCCCACAAATGCATGATGTCGGAAGTAAGGACATTCACGACCATCTTGCTCGGAATAGCGGAATTCCTGAGTCACCTACAATTGTAGGAATCAGCAATCTGTATGCGTTAAATGATACTACTCTGACTAATAGCAACGTATCACCCCAGTGTACAAGCTTTTCTGCCTACTCGAATGTTCTTCCTCATATTAACACCTTGTCCGCTGAAAGGTTTATGTCTCAAGCCATGTATCCAGATGATTTGAAGTGTTCTGAAAGGCTAACTAAGTTATCTCTTATCAAAGGAAAACAGGTAATTATAGCAAATAAATCATCATAGTTGCATTCTGTAGCTCAAGTTATTTTTATCTCGTAATTTATGTTTAATTAAATAGTGTGGAGGATATTACTAACTTGAAGTTGTCATTTACTGTTCACTGCAAAATTACATTTTTTAATGCACTTATCATTGAATTATCGGTTGCATTTCATGTTGAGTATCGGTGTGTTTTCCCTAAGCTCTAAACATGCTATTGCTCTACTACAACTGAGTGATTATTTAATGTGCGCAACAATAGATTATTTCACTTAAGTTCAAAAGTTGTGTGTCTACCGAAAGATTTTGTGATTGATTCTTACCATAAGACCAGAATATTACTAATTCCTGAGGAAAATATTGTCAGAGGACAACTCGTAACAGGGATTATAATGTTGCCTGTGTAATTATTATTATTATCGTAATTACTAAAATTATTCATTAAGTAACAGAAGTGACCAAATGTTTGATTGGGCGATGATTCATTGTTTTATTTCCACTCGACAGTTTGCCATGTGATGCCATTTTACGGTCTCATCAGTGTATGTCCAATTCATCTCCGTTTCTTTTTGTGTATTTGTTGAGTTAGTTTAATGCACTGCCAGCGTTCTCCGTTACTCATAATTTCTGATATTTGATATCAAGCTAAGACATCGGTTGATAAAAGTCTGGAGCGTGCTGTTGGAGAATTGCTTTTGGTGATATGCACACCAAGTCTGTGAAACACATAAAAGCACTGACTGACTTGAAGTCAGTTATATCTTTTTCCTTGTGGTCATTGCTGCTGATCTCCAGATTGATTTAAGTGTAGTGGATACCTGTCTTGCTTTGTTGATCACTGCATCGGTGGCACATTGGTTAGGACTCTCGCCGACCATGCACATGGTCCGGGGTTTGATCCCCTGCCGGCGCACACCTGATATCTATGGTCGGCCTGCAAAATTTGGGCTACCGATATCACATGCTGAAAATTCCATACCTGTATCAAAAAATACGGCGTGGAATCAATTTGAAATCAAAAATTTATCCGTGCAACATGTAGCTGAAACGACACTGCCTAGATCACCTGAGTAAGTGATGTCATTTCCTTTAGAATTCTCCCAATGATGTCTATTGTTGTTTGTTATTGTTTACTTTTGGGTATTATTATCGTCACTGTCTTCTCTATGCTCTTGCACAGTACCTTGAGAACGTACCCTTCCTCCTTATCGGTAAGAACCTTCCTCTCCTAACAAACCATTTATAACAGAGGCTTAAAGATGTCTGCTGAGGTTTCTGGGTTTGTTTCCAGTACTTCTACGGGATTTAACCCAGTCCAACTGCTTCCCCAACTGACTTCTGGTAGCTGTGCTACCTTAAAGACTTCCGTTTTTGTTGGAGGGTTGGTGCATACTTGTATTTCTGTGTCCGCAAGTGGCTGTCGATTCCGGAATTCTTTAAAGTTATCTCTCTTAAGTTTTCTCCGTGCCTGTAGATTATACTCAGCTCCACCTTTCATTGTTTGTTTTCTGTTTCTCCATCCTCCTTTCTCTCTACCAGCTTCCAGATGTCCATAGAAAGCCATCCCTTTTCTAGCCTCTTCTTTTCGTCTAAACTGTCTTCATAAGTTCACTTCTACTTCTCCTTCGGAGATTTCCAGTGCACTTCCACTCGTTTCTTTAGTGGTGTTGCCTTATTCCTCCGACATCTTCCTGATGTCTATCTACCCTGAAGGTACTTTGTGTAGATATGTGCTTCACTTTCTGGATGTTGAACTTTAATTGTGGTGTATCTCCATCTTCTACAAAAGCTTTCAACTTGATCTAATCCTACATCTGCTCCTCTTTTTGATCGGGTATCCAGTATGGTGGAATTGTAATTTCTTGAGATTGAGATGAAGTCTATCTGGTGAAACCCAAGTCACCTTACATATGCTGACTGCAATCACGAAACCACTAAATGCACACGTGGCTGCAAACGGTTATCCGTTTTCATTCAATGAATTCAAACGGACTTAAGCTTAATCCGGCTAAATATCAGGTAGTCAATTTCAGCTTCAGACTTAAATGTGACCTACAGCAACTAGTTAGCTCACATGGCCCCACTATCATTGACGGCACAGAGGTTGCAAATACATCTAATGTCAAGTACCTTGGGCTGAGTTTTTCTGCCGATCTTTCCTGGTCTTCCCACATCTTGCTAGTTACTAAAAAGATGTTTCGCTTAACGTTCTACATTAGGAAATTTAGGCAGTCTGGCATAAACCAGTCTTTGCTTTCTCAGTTTGTAAATTCTTGTATTCTACCCATCCTCCTTTACTGCTCACCATTAATCTTTCCTGGACTACTTAAGAAAGACTTTGCTTTGCTGAGAAGAGCACTAAAAGCCGTCAGTAGGGCAAGTGGGATATCGTTAAACCAACTGGTTAACACTATTTTGGATAGACATATAATGTCATGTAAGAAACTAGCGAATACAATATTGTCAGACCTCGAGCATCCTCTCTACACACAGCTCTCTCCTTGCATTTCATCTGGTAGAACTAGAAGCGGCTATAGGAGGCTATATGCTAGGACCACCAAATACAAAAACTCCACAATACCATATCTGGCCCAGCTGTTATGTGATGAGAAATCCGTTAGGTATGACACGATAAACTTACTGCGGCATTCTAACAAATAGTCTCATTAGTTTTTGTTTTCCTTTCCTCGTTACTATTACACTGTTGTTCTCATCTTCTACCACACATCAACTTTATATTTCAAATCCTGTGGTGCATTGTTTGAAATGTAAACTCTACGCTGTTTTTTTATTTTTATTTATTTATTTATCTTTTAATTTTAAAAATCTTATAAAATTTATGAGGTAATTAGATGCAATATACTGTAATGCACGCTGAAAATTCCATACCTGCACCACAAATACTGTTTGGAATAAAGCTGTTACTATTATTATTATTATTATTATTATTATTATTATTATTATTATTATTATTTCACCGAGCTACTTTCTACCCCAACACACACAAGCCGCCCTCTTAGTGTGCTGGTGGTTGTCAGCTGGACGATCTGACCCTTCAGTTAACAACTTCGTGAATTCAGTTTCATAGCATTCGCTGTTACTGGGTCTTAGTGTTTAAATCGTCTTGAATAAGCTCCTAACCAAGTCTGTCGTATATTGTAATGGACGGAAACTAAAAGTGTATGAACTTTCTCATCCAAACAAGAGTGGAAAACGTTTACTCAAATAGCCTGAAAAACGATTGAACTCCGAAACTTCGATAAACACAGGTGGGAGATTATCAGCCTTTTCTATGGCAAAACAAATTATTCATATGAATCATAAGTTTGTAAAGATTATACATTAAAATCGACAGCGTCATATTACTAAAATATGCACGCCAAGGCAATGGCCATCTGCAAAAAAATTGTTTATTGTTATGCATATAACAATAAACTGAATATTTAGTATATTTTTTACCATATGAATTATTGGTCTAGATATACTTTATATATATATATATATGTACTTGCATGCAATGGAAATGAAGTTGTTTAGGCTAACCAAATTGATTTTTAAGAAGTTACGCTTTTGCTGACGCCTTATGTATAACATCTGTTCATCCAACCTTATAGTCATAATCTTTTTTTCCTTACTTTTCTCATCTCATCATTCATTGTGCGTTATCACCGTTAACATCGTTTTTACTACTACTATCATCAGTATTCCATAAATCGTCCTCTCTCTCTCCCTCTTTCTCCTGTCTTTTCACGTGTTTATTCAAAAATCGATTTCAGATCCGAATCGCCTACTTCATCACTTAAAAATATGAAAAAAATGATCAGCCTTCTCCTTCTTTTAAACGCCGTACCTTTCTTATCCTTCTGTCCTCCTCCTTGTTCCTTGGTCTCTTTTCCAAAATCATTTCGCATAATGTCTTCATATACACATATCCAGTCAACGTGAACGTGGTAATAATAATGTTATTATTATTATTATTCCCATTATGATTCACTATTACTCTCAGGAAAGTATAAGGACGTGACAAGAAAATTGATAAGAGTGAATTTTATCTTTGTTTATTTAAAGTGAAAAACAGACATTGCTAAATTATCCCGCTCGTAAGATTTAGATATGATAGAGAAGATTTGTAGCTCAGGTGGATGATTTTGATGTGGTTTTGTTCTCTGAGCTGGATGGTTAATTTGCGAAGCTTTCATCATCAAATTGAAGTATGCGCTGAAAATGTCACCCAGTAGGGTGATGAAAGCTTCGCAAATTAACCAACCAGCTCAGAGAACAAAACCACATCAAAATTGCTAAATTATGTATAATGGAGTGTGAAATGAACGCGGAAAGCTACTGCTATTAGTCTGATAAGGATCAGAAATAAGATTCAATTAAATGAAATACTTTCAAAGTGGTGTTTATAGCGTGTTGCTCAAACCTGAAGGACAAAAATTTCATTTGAAGGCTTGATTGATTTCGATTCTACTTCATCTTTTGTGGCCTATACATTCTAGTAGTATCAATAGCTTCAGGGGAAACTGAGTGTAGATATGGCTTACTTATAATGCTGCAGAGTTTCTTTCCAAACAATGCATAGCCTCAGTGTCTACATTACTAATAGTATCTTGAAATGTAAGCGACGACCTATTGATAAAAAGTTGCACAGTTAGTTTTACCTCAGTTACCTGAAACCGATTTCTCATATAAAAGGTGATAAGTATTGTGTATAGGAGTTAATGATACCAACCAGTCGTCTATACTTAGGTAGTGGGACTCCAACCGACTGACCGAAAGTCAGGCACTAAGGTCATTAGGCTATAGCCTCACATATCATATGGTACAATAGTTTCCTTTATTTTACAAGTAATTTAGATTAGGTTTTTAGAATTTTCGACTGTTAGGATGTGTTTCTTTAGAATACTGATATAGGCAAATTGTCTTGTGAATATTTTCCAAATCATTGCTTGTTGATCACGTCATTAGTATTCTGCATACTCAAGGCTATTTCAAATAGTCCCTCAATTAATTAAAGAAAGTTTAACTCGCAAGACAACGAAGGATTATCAAGAGCTCCATATCCGTTCGAATTTTGTTGATCATTAGACTGAGTGATATTTAATCGGCGTTTTCCAACTTATTTTTTCGTATGTACTTATCAGATATTGACCATCTTGAGAACACCACATTTTAGGAACTTCATTAGTATACAGTGTCGAAAGATTACTGAATGAGCACAAATATTTTGCAACAGTTGGTTCTTAACATCTTAAGCACTTACGTCAGATCAAAAGTTTTTGCTAAATATAAATAACTATTTCTTATTATCTTCTGAATTTTATCCTACAGAATAATCTGTCGAATGGATTATGTCCATTGGCTAATCCAAATTCTATTTGTGATTCTTCATCATCATCACTATCATCGTGTACTTCTGCGTCTGACACTGTCTCCAGTGATTCAACTACTTCTTCATTAAAAGTGCAATCACCCACAGAGTTGAGTGGGCATCAACACCATCGAATGGAAGCGTATACAAGCATAAATTTCACACAGTCATTGAATTGTGTCAGTAACAAGAGTAATACTACTACTACTGCTGTTGCTACAACAAGTACTACCATAACTTCAACTACTCCCATTTATGATAATAAAAACTCGTGTGTGGCGGAAGGTTTTCGTGTATCAAGCCGTAGTAGTGAACATGACTGCTCTCGTAGTACTGTTTGTCAATCGCCACAATCATTCAGACAAGGTGATAACTCTGTCTCTGCACCTAGTCAAAGGCCTAATATGTCTTCCCTTGTGGATACTCAATCACATTTGAATAATTCTCTTTCTTCTGGTAAGTTTTCTATCGTTGTATTTGTCGTTATCTGTGGTGTTTTACTACCTGGTGCCTTTATCTTCATTACTATTTTTTCTACTGGAATTTTTTAGCGGGTAAATTGGATTACTGTTTGTTGAAGTCATTTTGTTGTTAGGGAAAAGTCATCTTTATACTCCTGAGGATGTTCAAATGACTATCTGTTTTTACTATTTAAGGCGATGTTTATTATTATTATTATTATACCACAAAAAAGAAAACTTTTGGTCTATTTTATTTCATCCTTTGAAATACAAAAATGAGATAACACTGACTTAAAGGAATTTGTCACATTATACACCAGTGGGCATTTTATTCTTCTCTTTAAAAACGATACAAAGGTCTCTAGTCGTAAATCCGTTTCTAAAGTCAGGTAAATAATGCGTTGTCGGACTTTTGGATAATTTCATAGAATTGAGTCATAAATTGCCTTATCAACCATTGTAATCGGTCAAATCATAAAAGACAAAGTGGTAAATTGGCAGCATTTTGAAAAGCACAACCAATTGATAGAGATATGTGATAGAGACATTGAACCGTAGACTTTCCCTTCATTTTGATCTTCCTGCATTTAATACATGATCAGATGGTGGGTAAACAGTGGTAAAATATCCTAAACTAGTTGGGCTCATTAGTTCTCAGTTTCTTTCAAGGTATTGTTAAGTTTTCTTTTTAAATTTTTAAATCATTTTGGTGAACGCCTACTCACCACTATGATGAAAAAGCAGTGGCTAGAAGTGTGGTGTGTGCTTCTGATAAGATTTACCTCTAGTATAAAAAGAGATGTTCTTCGGCATAAAAAAAATCAAATAGTAGGGAGATAGATTTAGCGTCAGAGAAAGCAAATAATTGAGTATTGCGGAGATAGACGAGAGACGTGAAAGAAAGACAAAGAAAGATAATATGCAGGACAGAATTAGTACAACACGGATTATGCTTGCAAACCGTGATTTGAAGTTTTGATATATAACGGTAACAAATTCTACATAAACATTCCTTTACCAAGTCTGTTGTCGTCTACCGTCACAGAAGTAGTATCTTATGAAGAAGATATGCTGTGCTTATCTGACGATGATACTCAAACTGTAAGTGGAATTGAGTGTTTCAAATCAATTCTTTAACACACATGTGATCGGGCTAATTTGACTATTATCAATATTTTCTCTCATTGGAGCAGTCAGAGTTGAACCGTTTGGTTTACCTCTCTGTGATAACTATTTTTTGACTGTATGGTTAACCGAATAAATCTTAGCTAGAAGCATGCGTAAGTTCCAGGCTTCAGTATTGAATTTATTGGCTTTGTGTATCTATGCTGTTATCTGATGACCATTCCATGGGAGCTAACACTAATCGTCACTTGTGTATCTTTTTGAAATGAATTATAAATGTAGTTCGGGTTTTTTGATAAGTTGACTTTGGATTTTATATCCTTCTATTATTTTAAAACCATTGGCGGCAAAGAAGTGGATTTTACCTAGTCGCTTCTTCAAACGTTTCATCCATCTGCTCTTCTATTTATTAAGTCTCTGGTCAGGTGGTAATCAGAATATTCGATTGTTCACCTTAATGATGGACATAAAATTCTTGATTCAGTGCCTAGAAAATAAAGTGAGAAAGTTTAGTCTTGACAAAGCACTGAATCTATATTCTCACTGTCAATAATGTATCCTTCTTTATTTATACATGCGTCATAATATGAGAAACTTTTGCGTTTTTACAGAACACATCTTTTCGCCTAATCATTCGTACTGTTCATCTCTGATGAAAGACGATCACACTTACACAAAGGGGAGTTCTAATCGTACAAAATCTGTCTCTGACCGGTTACCTTGTCAAATGGCCTTTGCTCCAATAACTTTAGAACAACTACTAGATTGGATTATTATTAAACAACTTAAATATGCATACCAAACTGGCAGTACACCTGCTACTGGCATTCAATCCGACGTAACTATCGATTTGTGTCCTTTGGGTCCAGCTATGTCGGTTTATTTAATGCTTCGAGCAATTTGTCGACAATGTGATCGATGGGAAGCTATTGAATTCAAACAGTTGGCAAAAAGTTCATCGAAAGGAAGTACTGACGCTGATTCATCAAATAACCCGGAGAGTGTTTCTGCTCATGTTAATCGTTCTTCGGTAAGTATTATTGGTGATGAAAGATTTTCAAAATTGCTACGTTGTTTTAGTTTATAAACATGAGTATTATATTTCTAGTGTGTTTTCTTTTCATTGATTGTGGACAAATAATTTAAGAATGTAAATACTTTTAATGTTAAGCTTGTGTGCCAAACTCCTTTCAACGTTTTTCATTCTTACGCTACTTCACACTTGGTTTCAGGAAAGTTTGAAAATTGTGTAATTAATGATTGAATATTATGTGGAAACCAATCACAAAATATTCGGAACGTTTTGGTAATGCATCACACAGAAATCTGTGTTGAATGTATTCATAACTCGGAAGTCCATTCGAAATTCATTAGCAAGAAAATGTGCATTTCAAATCAACTGAACTATTTTTCCGGTCAAAAAATTTATTCGAAGATCGTCGGTTTACAATTATATATCTTATATCACAGTGAACTACACCTTATCTCATTACTGTCAATCAGGTGGCTATACCTAAAATTGATAATTGTTGCCTAAATAGTTTATACTTTAAGCTATAGAGATAAATTGGTGTAGACAAAGGCAGGAATTCTACCCCATACCTCTATATTATTTGTAGTGTTAAAAAATCATATTGCTTTTACTCCCTTTGTCTCCTGTTCGATAATCGTGTGACGGTCAGTTCCGTTTCTTACTGAAAATCATATTATTATATTATTATTATATCATTCAATTCCTAGAGGAACTATAGGGCTTCAGCTGCCCATCTCCATTGCCATCTGTTTTCTGCCAACTTTTTCACTCCGCTCCAAGTCACCTTTGGACGACCAACTCGCCGCCCGCTTCCCTTTCGGCCTGGTTCCACTCAAGCGATGGCTTGTCTAGTGATGTCACTTGATGGTTTCCTCAGAGTATGGCCAGCCAATCCATCTCCATTTCTTCCTGCCTATTTGTTTCACAATCGGTTCCTGGTTGGTTCGCTCATTGCCAGAGATCTTTGTTTCTGATCTTTTCTGACCGGCCATCTGATCTTGAGTATTGAGCGAAGACAACTGTTAATGAAGGTCTGAAGTCCTGAATGCAATCAAGATGCTAAAAGCTGGGAAAGCAGCAGGACCAGATGGAATCCCAGCAGAAGCTTTGAAAATAGACCCAGAGACAACAGCGGAGTTGATGACGTCGATAATATTGTCATACTGTGTCATCTGTTTATTGCAGTATTTTTAAGTAATCGTGTTTAATTTAATGTCACTTTTTTTCTACTCAGAAAAAAATCCCGTGAATATTGTATGCCTTTAATTGCTTCAGCATCATGTGGTGGTTGACACTTCTTTTGGATAGATCGTTAATCATTGTATGCACTCTTAATTCATGCATTAATGCTCATATCTCATGTTGAGTGATATTAACACGCAATGTTCAGCCATACACCTTTTTAACCTGACTTGATTATTTAACTGAAAAGTAGAGGAAGTCAACAATAATTCTATTTGCAGAAAATTGTGTTTACTCAGAGTAGTTAGCTTTTACTCTCTTCAACTGTCTTGCTCTATTTATTGGAAACTGTTACTGATTACCACATTTCTCACACACTAATTTCAGCATTTAGATACTTACTGTACGAAAGATTACTGTTTTATATTTGATTGAAGATTTTGTTCTCTTTGCCCTTGTTTTTTGTACAGGTAACAAGCCTTTCAGAGTTGACTTTAAATCAGTCTAAACGTAGACAACGCCAGTTATTAGCACTGTTGGTAAGTGCTCTTGACCGCTATCAAAACTTTGAAGTATACATCAGTGAATCAATCAAAAGTATTGATTTAAGCAATTCAGTCACATGTCTTAAGTCAAATTGTCACCAGACTAGAATGTCGTCGTCATCACAACTATCAAATGAAAAGGACCATAGACTGAACTTTAAATTTATTAGTTTGATCAAATCAGTTACTGTCTGGTTGGCTAATTCGAGTCAATTGCTCCACCTTATCACCTGTGATGTTGACTTGAATGCAGCTTTCAAGGTATTTTTTTAATTATGCTTGTTTTTCATTTTGAAATGATCATTATCTTCTCATACAAAAAACGGCATTGTATTTATATATTTGTCTTTCATTTAAAAACTGAAAACAGTACTACTGTTTTAAAATGGATCTGTTGCATTGCTTGCCCTCCACATTTTCGAATCACACATCTAATAGAATAGTTTGTTAAGCCTACTTGTAAAATTTAGCAGTAACAATATCGGATATGTTCATTCTAAATCAGCTTATATTATGATGGAATAATTAAGAAAAGTTCATGACCTTACAAACTCATCATCAAACTATATGATCTATTTGTGATAATGGCTATTTGGAAATATATTTTTAATAACATTATTATTATCAATAATAATAAATTAATTAGTTGATTACTTAATTATTATCGACACTTTTACCACCGACCTTAATACAATCACTTTACAGTTGATTTTTAAAGCTGTATTGAGTGAAACATAGTTGAATATCTTCGTGCTTCCGAATAGCTGGTAATTTCACATGAACCTTTTGGACCTATTTTATTTACATGAAGATTGGTAAATTCCCTTCAGGTTTTATGATGGTGCTGTCTAGTGTCCGTGTCAGAAGTGGGTGAATATTGAATGGAATAGTGTACATAATTTCATGAACTCTTTAACCAGTGAAATATAAGCTTTCCTGCTGATTTATTATACTGGGACGAAATGCTCAGTGTTTTTTTTTTGCCACGTTGACGCCTAGTATGGAAACACCGACGGTTTTTCATGCTTAAATTGAACTCTGCATCCGTCACGTCAAACACTGGAGCATTATTCACCAAATAAATAGGCATCTATCTCAAGACATCGTCGAAACCTCCATACTGAGAGCTAGTATGTAAGATGGGTTCGAGTCCCAGGGGCAACGGCATCAATCATCAGCCTTCGAGTTCCAAATAGGATTAAACACAGGCTCTAGATTCCACTATTAACTACTGTTAGTGTCACTTTACCTATTGACTATTTCAGTAGAAATTCCCTTCCACACTGCTTCTGTTACAAAGAATGACAGTTGTACTCATATTTCATCTACTGGCTTAGCTATGTGACTCAAAAACCTTTGCAACTGCATTATACAATTTGGTTGGGTGTACTGAAAACCCTACTTTAGTGAATGAAATGCTTTAGAATTTTGTTTTGTTTTTTAAGATTTATCATCACTCTCTTTTTACTCAGTTTTTCACTCATCTTACGTATTTTAGGTAAACTATGCTTTCTTTATTCTGTTTACTTTTCTTAAACACTCCAGTCTGCAGTCATTGAAACTTTTGAGTCGAAAAGAAGTTCTACTAATGATGAGAAAATGTTGAATGCTGCAGCTCAGTGGGATCAATTGAAAGAACAGTTAGCTGAGATTGTTCAAACTGCTTTTGTTTATTTAGCGGATCTCTGTGTCCTTTGTTTGGATTTAATCGCTATTCCTCAACTTTTGATTTATTTAACCGAATGTGTGAAAAGTTTGTCTGATACTCATCAACATCTCAGTAGTCATAAGGAGACAGTAGATTGTACAGAAAGTACTGAAGTCAAGTGTAAAATACAATCAAATAATACTTCTGCAATAGACGAGGAAGATGATATGTCAGCAACTTTTCATGATCATTGTAAGCAAAGTGAAATATCCACTAGAAAAGTGAGTTGCAGTTTTTCACAATATTATTCTTTTGTAAATAGTAATTATGTTCCTCCTATCCAATAGCTACATGCAAGTTTTTGAAGTAGGATGCGTAGAATATCCTTCTGGGCGGTTGCAATACATCTTGATTAGTGGTAAATTGCAGTTCTGCAGTCCGCTGGTTGAATGAAAATCAGATGTTCAACTACTGAGGCGGAATCAGTCATTATTTTTTTCACCAAGAATTAAGATTACACGCCTTTATTGTCCTCATTTTTATCTGTCGGCTGCAAGCAGTACTTCATTCAGGTGGATAGCATGAAAATATTGCCGATTTCAGGATTATCAGTGTAATATAAGAGAATTGACGAATACGAAGTAAACTGCAACCTTAAATTATAAAGCCTAGGGATTTAAAAAGTTAGTATTCACATATAATACACAGTCATTGTCAGTCGATGTTTATACTTGCAGTAAATGAAAACAATCTTCAGTATGATGCAGTGCGGCTCATCTGCTTAAGCATTCGTCTCTCAGCTAATGGCTACTGGTTACGCAAACCCCTGTCTACTTCAGCCTGCATTGCGTAACTGGGTAGGGCTGTCATCTCTTGCACAACTAGTTGGACTCACATCCTGGTTGGTAGGAGATTTAAAGTAAAGGCGACATAATCCAAGTGTAGTTTGTTTTCTCTTGCATAATATGAAGTCTGTAAAGCGATGGAACCCTCTAGTGAAAACAGCTAAACAGCACAAACTGAAACCTGTTTCTGTTCTTTCCAAGCAATATGTATTTTATTTATTATTCTGTCCCGGTTATTTGTGTTTTATTAAACGGTGGTGTTTTAATAGTATTTCTTCTGTTTTCTGTGGCAAGCTGAACTGTTGCACTATGCGGTATCTTTTGTAGTTTCAAACTTTTTGTTAGCAGACATGATTAGAAAAACTAAGGGATTATGGTACAAATTTGTATCTGATAAAACATGTGGAACATCAAGTTTATTGCAACAGTACATGAAGTCTGACAATGGGTGTATTTTCTTTGTCTTGATTTTTGTATACAATAGTGTGAAGAATAGTTTGTAAAAGTTTAGCCAGAAAACCAAATAAACAGAATAATTTAAATTCAATGGATGCAAAAAGCTTTTTTCTACTCTGTAACCGGACACCAGAGCCACATAATTCTTGTTATTTAGTGCATTTTTTTTATTGTCCTTGTCAAACTTTCTTTGTTACTGGCGCGCATCTGTTTAATCTGAAGACTAGTCCGTAATAGAAAGGTTAACAATACACTCTGCCTTCTTCACATCACACGCGCATACTCACAAACACATTTGTGTGTTGTACTAATAAGTTTCTCTTAACAGTCTCATTTACTTTCTTTTTGGTCAACAATCTCGGTCCATTCATTCATACCTATTATGAGCCAATAAATTTATACTGACTCTTTTCTCAATTTTTCTCTCTTTCGCCTTGTTTTTCCTTGACTTATTGTGTGAAAGAAAGAGAAAAGGAATTCACCTTACAACATTTCAGTTTTTAGTAGTAGTTGTCATAGTTAATGTGTTCCAAGTGCATATTAACAATCTAATTTTTTCTCAAATATTTGCGTATCTATACTAATGCTACCCACTTTGGATAGATACTTAATTCCATAAAACGACTCCGGAACTCTATGCGTGTGTCTGTTTGAGATAGATGAATAAAGAGGGTGTGTGTATGTGTGGGTGAGTATGTGAGTGAGTGAGTGAGTGAGAGGAGCAAAGATAATGTGATTGATGTTAAAGTATACTGAGGTTTAATTTATGAAAGTTTGAAAATTATTAGAATTTTTCTTATCTAAATAGTACACTTGAAGTTAAACGTCGGTGAGTAGTGCTAGTTGTTCTGACATCAAGCTGTTAGACTAAGCGGAATATTTACTCCAAGTTGATGTAAACTTTAAAATACCAGTTACTGAATAAAACACAATTTACGCGGCATATCATTTTTCCATGACTGTAAGGGTGTAAAATGATGTGTCATCGTCCTCAATAGTTTCTGCTTATGTAGCTAGGCTTCTCTATAACTTTAGTTACTTTTATCTGGAGATAATCACAGAAAACCCTGTAGCTGGTCCACCCTTCTTACCTTCTTATTGATGTTAGACGCGTTTGAATAAAAAAAGAACTAATGTGAGTTTCATAACATCACTGTCAGACTGCGTTTGTATACTGATTATTAAAAATTGAATGAGTGACATCTTCGCCCCTTATTTCATTCTGATAACAAATCAATTCATGCAGTCACAGAGGTTGAATAATCCTGAATCTAACGATTCAATGTTATCCTGCTATCTTATACATACTAAGTGCAATTGTTTGAAGACTAATTTCTATCGACTTGTAAAGTATTGTGAGTTTGTCCCAGTTTCTTCTTAGATTTTTCCTCTCTTTTTCAGCATAATATTACTATAGACATACTTAGCGAAATACTGAATTGTTTGCATTCATCCCATGTTAATCCTGCTTTCATTGTTCAATTGTTTGCGCATCTACTGCATCGGTTAAATGCACGCCTATTCAACTTTGTTATCGGTTATAATGAGAAGGAGAATAAACAGACTGATCAAACGCATGTTTCACCTTTATGGGGTAGTTGTTTATACGCTTGGATTCACAATTGTCTAGCTGATTGGGCTACTGAACAAGGCCTAAGTTTAGCTACTGAATGTTATCTTCAAAGGATCAGTCAGGTAAGACACTCTATATAGTATCATGTATTTATCTAGTTGATAAAGATTTGTTTTCTTACTTGCTCATTATTGGTGTTTTCAGATTTTTACATGGCGAAACAACTACAATGTTTTTATACATTATGATGTGGCCAACTAGACCTTTGAAGAGTGAAGTTAAACTATCGCAGCTATAACCACTTTGACCTTGAGCAACTGATCAGAGTTCAGATGGAAAGGAGTTGCATAATCGTTAGACAAATTTGCTAAACAACATTACATGATATTACAGTGGATAATTGTCTCTTATGTGTTATAAGAATGTCTCCCACTTACTCTAAGTATAATTCATGGAGAAATCATACTATGCACGACCAATTGTATTCATCCAGGTGACTGTAGATTATGGTACTTTGGGATCTATTGATATTCTTAACACTGTTCTTTAACACAACCGGAACTCTAATCCTACTCTTGACCCTACCTAACGATGTAGATTTAGGGAAGTACCTAGAAAATAAGTAGAATACTTTACCCACCCTCACCAAATCATAAATCCAGGCAGGATTTGATTTGGAACGAACTTCCGTAGCATTCTCTAAACCTGATTAGCTCTCTTCAAGATCAACTTTGTGTTACTGATCCTGACTTTGGCTATGCTACTTTCACTTTGCCCTTATAAGAATTCACATCATTAAAATAATAAACTATAGTATTTTATTCTGATAACTGGAGGAGATTGACTGACTTAAAGGTAGTTCCCGCTATGCACTGAAATCAGCCTTGGGTGCACATCAGCCATATCATCTTGGGGGACTTCTTGATTATAGACATTCATTTTGAACATCTCATCTTTTAGATTTAAATTGTCTGTCTGTCTGAGTGCGTAACTGTGAAAATGTGTTCTGCGAAACGATAATTACCCTTTTTCAGCTGTCTAGTTTATTTACTGCCCCAATAACTGAAATTAAGGACATTTCTTGATTTAATGATTTGCTATAATGCCAAGTATATATATAGACGTTAATGCAACAGCGTTAATTCTTCGCATTAATTTTTGACAGATAAATGAGTAAATATTTCTTTTCTGCTTTTGGTGTCAATTTTCAGTGTGTATTTTCTCTTCTTTTGTGTAGTATTTGGCTTCACTTTAGTCCTGTTGAACAAATTGAGAGATTGTAAGTCATTAATTCCACTCGGCCATTATTTATCAATCACTGTCTCTCTCACTCTGAAAAATGACAGTTGTATAGGAAGAAGTGAATATATATATATATATATATATATATGCATAATTCATCTTTATCAATCATCTCAATCTGTGTTCGTGTTTAATGCATCAATTGTTTCATATAGAATTAATCAATAGCTGGAGGGTAAGATCATCATGGAACTGTTAGAAGAATATTCATGTAGTCCAAGTGACTGTGTTCCATAATCATTTGTAGAAAAATTGACGTTCTGAAGACCGAGAAATGCGAAGGAACCACCATGTGTTCATGAAATCCCGAACCCTGACGCAGATACCTGCTATATTCCATAATTTGAGAGTTATATTTTATTTCTCAGACTAACAAGTACTGTGAGATTCCTTGGCTTCTAAAAACAGAAGGGAAATTAGCAGAAATAATTTGAGCTCTGTAGGAATGGCGTCCGACTTGATTACGTGAGATGTTGAGAAGTGACGGCTGGAAATATATATATTTCACATGCCGACATCAGTTTGTGAACCGTTTAAAGTCAGGAATTACTTGATAACAGTCTAATTCTAGTTTGGGACTTTTCTGCGGTATGCAACCACAACTCTACCAGGGATCGAGTGGAGGAATTTTAGGACACCATTTAGTTAATGGGTCAGTATACAATGACTCATAAATTGTAATTCGCAGTGTAAAGCAACCATTATGCGGCTTTATCTCGTAGTATCATTCTTCACACCTAACTTGATTGACCTCATCAATTACATCTACTTATTATAACTCCAGGATGTCGATCCCGTAGTTATTGGATTGATTTGTATTATCTGTCGTCATCTTTCAGAGTTTATTTCACCGCATACAGTGAATGTGCGGATCAGTTAGGTTAACGGAACATAAAAAATCAGTGAATTCTAAACCAGTAGACTGTAAAACAATAAATTTTGGGAAAAGCCCAGTTATAGGACTGCGCTCAGCCCCACACAACCATACAATAGCATGGGAAAAAGTAGCAGTACTAAAATCTAGAATATTAAAACAGGGGAGGGAGGTTGTTTTCCAAAGCATATTTTATTATACCGTAGATTCCGACCTTCTGACTATTCTTCATCTCTCATATTTGTATGCATTTGACTATAATACTGTCTGGTTTTGCTTCCGTTTCTCATTTTACCATGACATGTGTATTAAATCTGGTTTGTTCTATTTAACAACTTATTTTGGCCTTTCCTTCCGTTTTGTGTCCTTATCTTCATTATATGAAATGGGATCGTCGTGTATTATTATTTCAGTAGTAAAGGCATTCACAACTAGTCACTAGTTGTCATTTGAACAAAAAAATCTGCATCGCTATAAAATCCACACAATTAGCCCTACATTGAGTACCTATCGCTTTGCTGAGAGCCATGACACTAGAAACAGACACTAGATTTTAGTTTAATTGAATACTAGTTACTAGTGTCATGCATCTGGTCCTTTGTTTGGCGTAGACTGAATTCTATCAGTCAAGTCTGGAATATGAAACACCGTGCTAGCCATCACGATGCAACCTGAAATGTTATTATTTAGATAGCTGAAAGCAATCTGCAGAATGCCTTGGACCTACGTTTCGTTTTTGTTGGCACTTGTTAGCAAGGCATATCTGTAATCTTGAAAGAAGTCATGTCCCCCCCACTTTGATCAATGAATGTCAGATAAGTTACGTACATGCAGTTGTTCATTATCCTTCACATAAAGTACTCACTGAGGTATTCCACTCTTATTTACAATCACAATAGTGGTAACAGTTTCATTAGTATTCAAATGATTTTGTTACTGATTTGACTGCCTGGCATAACATCCAAAGTATGAATGAAAAACGGTAATCAATTTGATGCAATTTCTCTTTCAACTAGTTATTGGGCAGGTGACTCAAAATACACTGCTTGGGTTAATTCTGTGATCTAAGCTATTCTTCTCAACTTGATTTCTAATTCTGTTGCGAAATATTTCATAATGGGCGTATAAGTTTCAAATTATGCACACACGGTATTTTGTTGTTCACGCCGTTACCGTACGATCATATGATCCAGTTCTGTGTAGAATTAGTGTTTGTCTTGGGTTATTCATTGTAAAGTTCTCAACGCTGAAGCAAAATGACTCTCGTTCTGACAAGCGAAGAGAAATTCGTTTCCTCCTGATTTTAGAATCATTGGGCTAACCATCATACAAAGCAAGAAACGTGAATTCACGCTATCCCACTGACCTACTACTTTTACTCCTGTATTACACAATTTGTTAGTGTTATCGTAATTAAATTCACACCTGGTCGATTGGTTGTGATGAAGTCGCCACATAGGCTACCATCTAGGTACTATTTGGCATCTTTATAATCCGTGTAGAGTTTCTATATTATATCACTGTGAAACTGATTCATCTGTTGTCATTTATCTTCATTCCTTCAACTTTATTTCACTTTTTTATTGTTAGATTTGAGTTATATCATAAAAATTTGCCGTTTAATCGTTTATATGTCACCGTTTAACGTTGATGGAGCTGCTGTCTGAATTTCACATTGGTAACATCCCTGAGGTTGACATTGAAAGATGTGTACTAAAGTCGAAATAGTGTGTCACACGTTTAGCAACAGTGCTTAGTATACAGATTAACTTTTTTATATTCCTTCGGTGGTTCAATGGAAGAATTGTCTCCAGCCACACAGGAAGTCCGGGTTCGACTCCTTGCCCACGTACTCCTAAGCCTTGCCTAGTTTGAGACGGTTTTAAGCCCAGAAAATGAAGGATAGAAGTCACATTACCAGCAGAGGTGTTTTTAGCAGATGGATTATTGTGAATTGCACGTATAAAGCTCCTTATGTCTCACCATCTGCATTCAATTAATGCATCTTATCTTTCTCAGTTTCATGGGTGCTTTTATAAATTCTTTTGTTTTTGATAATTAATGTAACTGTGCAATAAGAAGTGTATAACTTGTTGTTAGAATTCATACTCAACGAAGGTATCCCTCAACTCACCATTACCACTAATCTTTCTTTTGTTTTTATTTTTATTTTCAGGCTGCAGATTTGATGCTGTGTAATATGAAATCTGTTGAAAGTTTATACAATATGGCTGTTGATTTAGTTAGCTTAAATTCACGTCAAGTTCGAGCATTGCTCGAAAGCTATCGATTACACGATGGGTCCAGTGAAAATGAAACCACCCCCACTACCGATTCTAATACTACTACTACTACCCCGTCAGACAAATCTAATTCAGGCCAAATTCCAAAGGCTTGGATTGAATTCGTTGTCTCCGGTGTGAAACTGGTAATGCTACAACTAATTGTTAATTTTTTACGAGTTGATCACGGATTGATATCAGTTAGAGAACCATTGAAAACCAGGGAGTACTGGACAGCTGCTGTTTCATCCTAGTTTGGGAATCATCGGCAGTACGCACTCACTGGGTTTCGAACCCAGGACCTTCCGGTTACAAGGCAAGCTCGTATACCATTCAGCCACTGGAACCCGATTCAATGGCTCGTGAATTCTAACTTCTACCAATTCGTGATTTAGCGCGACCCCAACCATTGTCGTTGGTGGGACATCCATCCACACACGTGACATCTAATTGGACCTCACTGGTCACGACTTCTCACTAGAACTCAGGAAACTCCAACCTGTAGCAAGTCACTAGCGAGCGAACTCGTAAAACATAACTAATCCTTACAAACCAAACTATAGAAAGTTAATCTGATGCTCGCTAGTGACTTGCTACAGGTTGGAGTTTCCTGAGTTCTAGTGAGAAGTCGTGACCAGTGAGGTCCAATTAGATGTCACGTGTGTGGATGGATGTCCCACCAACGACAATGGTTGGGGTCGCGCTAAATCACGAATTGGTAGAAGTTAGAATTCACGAGCCATTGAATCGGGTTCCAGTGGCTGAATGGTATACGAGCTTGCCTTGTAACCGGAAGGTCCTGGGTTCGAAACCCAGTGAGTGCGTACTGCCGATGATTCCCAAACTAGGATGAAACAGCAGCTGTCCAGTACTCCCTGGTTTTCAATGGTTCTCTAACTGATATCAATCCGTGATCAACTCGTAAAACATAACTAATCCTTACAAACCAAACTATAGAAAGTTAATTGTTAATTAATTATAATTACCACCATTAATGCATTCCTTATTATTCTTTATTGACTTGGCATTAGCATGAATTTCTTGTTTTTCTGTTGCTCTTGTTGTTGTTCATGTTAATCGTAAACACACATTTTCTTGTCTGCTTAATTTGATCATGTTGACTAGAAAAATAAGCTTTTTTCTTCATTTATCCATCATATATATCAACAAATTGGTTAATAGAGATGGAAAGCATATTTTTTTACTTATTTTTTTTACAGCGTTGCTAACTAGATTATATCATCAACTATGTTGTTACATGTCTGCCCTGTCTGTCTTAAATTATTTTAATTGCAGAGTGCGTATCTGTTTGATTATGAAGTAACTCAGGCTGTTGAATATTAAGACCATGCGTTTGTATTTCCACTTTTCACTTTGGATCTAGACGAATCAATCGTCTATTTGTACGTGTACTTTTCGTATATTTCATCTGGACAAACATAGTTTCTTAAATTCTAAATTCCAATAATCATATGCGTAAAGTAAGTAAGCGGTGCTCGGAGAAATAAAACCGTGGGAACTAGGCAAGTTTTAGACCCGGACTAGGTTGTATTGATCACATCCCTGTTTGACAGATTCTGAAACATAAGCGTATTTACCGGTGCCCAACACGTGTCGTGGAGAGTTGATACGGAAAATCTAGCTGTTAAGAGAGGAGTTGCGAGAAAGTTTGTAAACTAATCAAGACAGTCACTATACTCGAACTCACTCAGCAATGTAAGATGATGTTACCAGACTAGTCTTCATTCATTTGTAGTTTAACGATGGAGAGCGAAATGGTTGAGAGTGTTGACCACTTCACTTATTAGGGTGTTTGCATCAGCCTTGATGGGCTGACTGCTGACGAAATCTCGGCATATATACGCAAGACTTGTTCGGCATTTGCCAACCTACGTCACTTCTGACCTAGACATGTTGTCAGACTGTCTATCAGAGGATGTGTGTTGTGCGGCAGTTTGCTCTATCCTTCTTTAAAGCTGTGAGATATGGTTGTTGAAGGTAGAAGATTTGAGAAGACTAATCTTTTCTAACCATAGATGCTTACTTTCTATCTACTGTCTTAGATAGTATAATATGGTGAGCAAGTTTGTGGTTACTCTATGAACGGCTTCCTTACTCTTCTTTGAGTGTATTGGGTTTCACAACTCAGATAAATATCCCTCATAGTCATATGCTTATGCTGAACACGCCATGTCATTTGAGTAAGCAAATCACTCTTACAACGCTATAGTGTGATTTCTCAAATTTCTGTTTAATGTACAATAAACACGCCATCAAGTAAATTTAACAAGGTAAAGCATATTACTGTGCAACGCCTTTCTCATTACTCACAAAAATATACTGCTGTTGATGTCCTTCTAAACAGTTATCCAATTATTCTGGTGGATTTTAATTCAGGTGTTGTGCAAACCTGTGATACTTCAGTTATCTTCTCTAACGCAATTATGTATAAAGGAAGTTTTCAACCTTCTCTTAAACACTTCTCTGTTATAATCAAGAAATTTAATAGGATCGCATATGAATTCAAGGTAATAACTTGTGTCACAACATAGTTGTGATCATGAAAATATTGCAAAATATCTCGAAATGATAAATGTTATTAAACCTTATTGTATTATTCAGGTTGCAGATCGAATCCTTACTGAAGAAAGTATGTCTCTAACAAACGATGACTTAGATGAAATGGATAAAAATACCACAATTCCTGACAGTGGGACAAAATCGAAACCTTTAGAACTTGGAGAACCACTCGATCTTCACCTACCCTTTCTATTACCTGAAGATTGTTATCCTTCGGATAATCCCTTACCCATTGTAGGACAAAAAGAGGAATCTCTTGTCAGTTACGATGACAGTGGTGTATGCAGTCGAAGCAGTTCAACAAAAGATCAAAAGCATCAGTCATCCAGTGAAAATGTCAGTACACCTGTGATTACTGTTGAATCAATTAAGCATTTTCTCAATCCTGCTATTCAAATCGGCTGGTGTCGCATATCTACAAAATCCAGTATTCATCGTGTTGACAATACATCTACATCGGTTGATGAGACATTATCAGATAGGCGGATGAGTATCTCTCAGAATCCAACACATTTTTTAAGGTGGAATGTTTATCTAATCGATCCAAAGTCATCCGTCGATTGTGAAAGTGTAAAAGCTGATACTATCAAGTCAGATGAACATGTCACACTGTCTGTAAATCCCAATACTGAAAGCGTACAGTGTGCAAATCAAACGGTATATCAATCTTAGTTTATATTTTGCATCAGTATCTTACTAAATTAATAATATGTGGCAATTTATAACAGGTTGATTGCAGTTGATAAATACAGGCTTCTCTTTTCCTACTCAATGCAGAAATAGCGTTTATCAGTGTTAGAATGGTTCCCTGGTTCATATCTATTCATGATGTCATAGAAATTTGAAAACATAAATTATTTGTTCAAGTATCATTCTTTGGAATAAATATTTTACAGAATTATATTTTTTGAAGTATTGGTTTTGTAGGGATTTTGTTTGATTGCATGGAGGATTTAATCATGAGCTGACATCAGTTAGAGAACCACTGGAACCACTGTCCAGTACTCCCAGGTTTTCCAGTGGTTCTCTAACTGATGTCAGCTCATGATTAAATCCTCCATGCAATTATATTTTTCAGAAACCAGTTTACGTCTACTCTCTGCGAGGTGAAACGATGGAAATCTATTTTTTTAAAGTCCCCTAAAGCAGACTTGTCTTACATCATTGTTAACTCCAAGTTCAGTGTTGAAAGTGAATTTGTAACTGTCAGACAACAGTCTCAAATTACTATAGAGTCATTCAGCTATTCAGTGTATTGCTGTAAAGACCAATATTACACATACGACACTACTTATGTATATTTTTCCCCGGGAAGTTACTTTTTTCATAGTAGTGTTTGCACAATCCAGACTCCATTTGATTCGTAGAACTGACAATCTGTCTTTGTTTTAGATAACAATAAAGCTAACGTAAACGTCATATTTATATCCGTCTGGAAATACTGTTCAACAATGCACTTTATATCTGTGTTGCTTCTGGATGGGACTTTTTGACTTTATCATTTGACTTACGGGCTTCAGGCCATTGGTTTCTAATATCACCTGCTTCATTGGGTAGTCTCGATAGCCCTAACATATAAAGTGTGGCCTACAAGTTGGTTCATAAACTAACACTGAGTGTAGACATGTTATTTGCATCGTTGTATTATAATCATTCAGCCTTAAGACTATGCCTAAGCACGTCTGAACTAGTCTTAGTTAAGACTCTAAACGATTGACTTAATGCTTGCAGAGTACACTTCATCAGTTGGAAAGCTCAATGGCCAGATTATCAGTAATCAGCACATAACTACAGTGCATTAAAGACAGTTTTTTTTATTGGAACTATTTTACATTTCCACGTATTTTTATAATGAAAGTAGATGTTGATTTCCACTCTTTTTATATATTTGACCACCAGTACCTTTCTTGTACCATCTGCACAACTTAATTAATTAGCATAAACTCTTGTAAGGAGAAGTGGGTCATTCAATCTTCATCGATTCGGTCTCTTTAAAGTAAGTGAAAGTACCCTACCCACAGTCTATCTATCGTATTATGTTATCCGAAGTAGAGAGATTCAAAGAAGGCGAAAGATGAATAGCCAGTGTCATAAGACCTACTCACCAAACCATGGACTGGTGTTACTTAATGAGTTAGAGATTAAGATTTGCTTGTTTCCGTTCCCAAGATAGTCGTAACTCATTATTATTATTATTATTGTATCCTTTAGTTCCTAGAGGAACATAGGAACTCATACAATCCAGAAATGATTGTATTGACTTGGACTTATTTGTCCTTTAGTTTCTTCTAACTTGTATTATTATAGTATCTAATTGGCTTTATTTTTAATCGCATAGTATTTTACGACTTTCCATTATGTATTTCGCGTAATGTTCAGTTGCGTATACAGTTATGAGTACATTATTGTAGTGGTCGAAGTAGAACATATGCCAATCTGCATTTCATTGCATTCATACAGTGTAGCTTTGAATCGGAGTATACATTAGTCATTCAAAATATAGACAAAAGTCGTTGCTATTAAAAAAAGATTTTACATCAGTGTACTGTAGGTTGATATTTCAGTTGGCTATTGATCCCAGTCTCATTCTACTTCAACCCCAACAAAAACAATTTCATTTCTCTACCTTAATGCATTCACTATTATCCTTAGGGACAACAAGTTCATAAGAGTATCATGACCATAAATGTAAAAAATTTTCTGTAGGGATTTGAAAAGTCAGTTTGTCTCAATCTTCATGAATTTATTTATTGTAATTTCAAAGTGTTCATGGAGTATAAAAAATAATAGCAAAATCCATGCATTTTTATAGAAGTTAAGTAGTGTTCACTAAAAACTCTGTTCTATGATTTCTTTCCTAAGCACTATGGGTTTACATTAAGTCGTATTATGGCGACTCATAATGTATATATATATATATATATATATATATATATATATATATATATTGTAATAATGTATTGCGCCAGTAATTAACTACTCTAATTTTCTTTTAACATATTTTTAGCAGGCAGCGAAAATTGTAACAACTTCAGTCACTCCTGGGAAAAACAACGAATCTCTTTCAAATCGGTTGTCATCGCCGTCATCATTGCTAAAGAATCATTCTGTATTTGGTCAGTTGTGCAGTCGACATTGTACATATTCAGTTGTTGTGCCTAAAATTGGACAAAGTTTAGGTCTTAGTATAGTCGCTGCTAGAGTGAGTTACTGAATGAATTATTTTTGTTTCATTGTTCTATGGTATATTAATATTCGTCCATGGTGTTATTCATCCCTAAGATGGGTAAGGACTTAATTCTCTACAAGATGAAATGAGAAATCTATACTTTCCACCTTAGTTACAAGACTGAGATTTCCAAATACATTTGTAAAGCGATGTCTTGAAACTAATCTATGTGGTGTCTTTGAATACCAAGAGATTATCATGTATTTTCATCATTAGCCACAACATACTAATGGATTGTTATAGTGGTTGGCCCTTTTCTAAAACACTAATCCTTTTTATTCATTCTGTCAGTGGACTGTTAGACTAGATCTTCTATCAGTGACAGCTTTCACGCATGTCACGTGATTTCTCGATGACTTGCTATTAATATATTGTTATGTGAATAGGCAAAGTGCACTTCTCTATAGGCTTCGCTATACTATTCGGTATTCATTGGTGTCATAAGTTGAACGTAGATAAGTAATTTTATAATTCAAATTTTAACTTGTCTTTAGGTGGTCCTAATTACTTGCAAATGTTTAAACTATCATAGTTTGTAAAAATAGCCGTGAACAGTATACTACTCGAGTGGATAATATAATGCAGGTAGAGAACAGTATCAAGCTACTGGTCACATACTTGTAATCAAAATAACGGCATTGCTAGGGGATGTCGTCTATTTTACTGTAGATTCAGTCGTTTTTGTAACAGTTGAAGAAAAAATAAGTCAATAATTATAATAATCTACATACCTATGCATCAGGTTATAGGCCGTGTTTTTTTTTGATGATTACCTACATCAGTAAACTGTTTGATTCTCTGTATTGAAAATCGCCTATCTAATGGCTACATAGATTATCACCTTCGATATGACGTGAAGAAAGGGGAAATTATTTACATTCTTGAAAGTTTTAAAATTTTTCTACTATTGTCAACTTGAAATTCGTTTTCACTCTTAACTTTTTTGATACATTTGTTGTTATTACCTCGAGTACACCCTGATGCAGTCACTAGACAGTATTTCATTATTGTTATATCCTTTAATTCCTAGAGGAACATAGGGCTTCAGCTGCGCGTCTCCATTGCCTTCGTTTCCTGCCAACTTTTTCACTCCGCTCCAAGTCTGCCCAAATGCTTTCATCTCCTCTTCACATGACCTCCTTCAAGTCACCCTTGGACGACTAACTCGCCGCCCGCTTCCCTTTCGGCCTGGTTCCACTCAAGCGATGGCTTGTCTAGTGATGTCACTTGATGGTTTCCTCAGAGTATGGCCAGCCAATCCATCTCCATTTCTTCCTGCCTATTTGTTTCACAATCGGTTCCTGGTTGGTTCGCTCATTGCCAGAGATCTTTGTTTCTGATCTTTTCTGACCGGCCATCTGATCTTGAGTATTGAGCGGAGACAGCTGTTGATGAAGGTCTGAAGTTTGTTTGAGATGCTCTTTATGACGCGCCAAGTCTCTGATCCGTATAGTAGCACTGACTTCACATTGGAGTTGAAAATTGGAGTATTGGAGTATTTCATTGACAAGTGTGAATTCAGCAAAAATGTTTTGATAAGGGACCTCAGCATAGCAACTGATAAGTTTGATTAAAAACGAGCAAAACAACTGTCTAGTTTTTAAATCCCTTTTGTTTGAGAACGAAGCTACAAAACTTTTGTTTGACTCGAATGGTTTCGAACTGTTTGTATCAGTTAGTGGTATACGCTACCCTGTTATATCGGTTGCTTCCTTGGCGGCTTTTCCTGGCATTCCTCAGATCTTTGAATTATCTTTCTCATCCTAAGATACATTTTTTTTCTTCAATTTACCTACCTTTACTGAAGCTCATTTGTCAATTTGCTGGACAGGTTAGTTTGATTGCATCTATGGACAATGGGATACTTAGTATCTTCGTTTATCTGTATCACAAATGTAGTTAAATCTTGCATAAGCATGTGTTGTGTTAAAAAAAACACAATTTATCCAAGATTTTATTAGATGTTCATTGCGTTATTTCTTCTAACCGAACTACGTTGAATTGGAGTCTCTTTTCGGTTAGCTATCTTCCAGCCATTATATGCACAACTCTTATTGTAAACATACCATTGCCTTTCTTGGGGGCTTTATTGCCAACCATTTAGTTATGTGCATTAGTCATTTGAGATCTATCGAGATCTGGTTATTTCAATGAACACCTCCACAATAGTCATTGTTCTCAGCTCACTTTACAGATGAGATAAATACACGGTAAATAAATATCATACAATACTACTTCGCTTTCTGTTGTGTTTATTTAGTTATTAATTTGCAGTTATTACGAAATTGGTGTAAATAGTTTGTTTTTTTATCACAATGTGTAACATGAGTATGTCAGTTCAAACCCCTTACTGTTTGTTAGTATACTCTGGTATATGCCTCCTGAATATTAGATTATCCAAGCTACTATATGTGAATAAGGGTCCTTAATTACTTAAAATCTTTCTAATTTGAAATTTGAATATTTTGTTTTTCTTTCAGTCAGAATACGGACAAGATCTGGGAATTTATGTTCGTGGTATTAATCCAGGAAGTGGAGCTAGTCATGCAAGACTACTTCAAAGGCCTAATGAAACTCATATAACAAAATGCAATGAATTCTTATTAACTCCACCATACCTACAGATCGGTGATAGACTCATATCTGTTAACGGCCAGTTAATCACAGGATTATCTCAAGATGCTGCTGTACAGCTGGTGTCATCAGCTACCTGTGAAGTTGTTCTCACTGTGATACGTTATGCTAAACAAAATGATGATGATGACGATGACAAGAATAAGGCAATGCTGCTGCAATCATCACAAAAAACAGCTGATTTAAAACAAAAGACAACCAATCTCCAGTGTATTGATTGTCTGTTGCACGAATCGTTACTCTTGAACTACAAAGCTTTCATAGATAGTGATGAAAAGTCGAGTCCACACGTGAATGAGGTGATCTTTCGTAGAAAATTTCTTTTTTGTTTTGCGTACGACCTAAGTGTTCAGAGTTTTACTTCACTCTTGGTTTACGTTTTGTGCTCATTTTCGAAATTATATTCTACCATATTTAAAAGGACTTACATTATTCCTCCAACACTAATTCCAGCTGGGACTGACTGCACCGAAAAAATTGGGAAAATGGAGGTCCAATGAACGATTGTCACTCATATTTAAAGTTTGATCTATTATGTTGCTGTGCAGCATATTTCCTTACAAAAATGTCTCACTCTCCTTCAGTATAGTCTCACTAACTATTATCATAATTCCAAAAGAGTTTCAACATTTTACTGCCAACTTTTGAAGTAGTATCAACCATCAAAGTACTTATCTGCTGATTTCACAACTCGTATTCCACCTAGTTGACACATTAATACCTTATCAGTAAATAAATACTCCTTTTAGTCGGTTTTATGATTGCCTAATATAAAGTTTTACCTAAATTATGGTCGCTTGCATCGTGCTGGATAAAAATTGCAGGATGAAAAGGATGCTACTCACAAGTCATATATTTAGTAGTGCAATTATGGACTAACGATTTTGTCGTTTGAACACGATATACTCAAGGTTGAGTGGACAAGTTTATACGTTTTTGAGCAGTAAACTTTTCCCGAAATCGTATACAATTAAGCGATATATTTACTATCGGCTCAGACACCCCTTTCTATGTGCTGCGTTTTATTTGTTTCAGTAGACTGATTCAGTCGTAACTCTAAAAGAGGGTTTTCCTACATGGTTTGTGTTTTAAAAAATACACTGTACTTCACAGTAACAGAAAAGAAAAAGATTACTCAATGAAAAATCATAAACTGGAGCAAAGAAAGTCGTGGGAGACGAAATCATACACTCAAAAGCTTATTGGATTCGGTGTGCTGTCAAATGAACGTTTTACACCTCGTCACTTTTCCTGGTCTCAAAGACACTTTTACTCTCACTGCTCATGATAAAAGGAAAAAAAACCTTACTCTTTTCTACTCCACACTGTAATTTCGTGTTTATCTATAGTTATCCAGACACAGTCATGTACATAGATAAATCTAATATAATGTTTTGATGCCATAAGAAGGAAGAAGTCCCGTATGGTTATTGTGACCAATAAAAATAGCAGAGGGATGCAAAGAAGCACTCTCTACCCATCATATTCATTTATATGCATCGGGAACGACGTAATTCACCTTTCGTCTTTACTTATTACAATGATTATAGCTTCTTGCTGATTGCCTCCAAACCTTTAACATGAATTATAAATGCACCTACCTTGAAGATCACATTGCAAACGTGCCTGACAGAATTCATTCAACACCAATGCTAGGGACTAGATACATCCTATTGGCTACTCATAAGTGATCATTTAATGTATCCGAATGTATCATTTTATATCAAACAATTATACAGTACTTTAAAGTATTTTATTATCGTCAACCATACAATGTGTAGCGTAGTTTCAGAGAAACCACGAAATGATATCATCTCATTATTATTATTATTGTTTCCTTTGATTCCTAGAGGAACATAGGGCTTCAGCTGCGCGTCTCCATTGCCTTCGTTTCCTGCCAACTTTTTCACTCCGCTCCAAGTCTGCCCAAATGCTTTCATCTCCTCTTCACATGACCTCCTCCAAGTCACCCTTGGACGACCAAATCTCCACTTCCTGTTCAGGTTCCACTCGAGGGCCTGTCACTTGATGGTTTCCTCAGTGTATGGCCAATCCATCTCCATTTCTTCCTGCCTATTTGTTTCACAGTCGGTTCCTGGTTGGTTCGTTCATTGCCAGAGATCTTTGTTTCTGATCTTTTCTGACCTTATGAACTTGAGTGAGGTACTGAGCGAAGATAGCTATTGATGAAAGTTTGTAGTTTGTTCAAAGTGTTCTTCGTGACGAGCTGTCTCTGATCTATAAAATAGCACTGACTTCACATTGGAGTTGAAGGTCCGGATCTTGTTTTTCCTGCTGAGTGCTACTGATATCCACACAGACTTTGAGAATAATGACAGCTAGCCTTGCTTTCCCGATCCTTGCTTTGATATCCTGGTCATCTCATTATCCGCCGAAAACTCTATTAGAAAGCATTACTGCAATGAAGTATTTCAAAGAGCATTTCAAAGAAATCACTTTTACTGTCTTCAGTCCTAAAGTTCTTTAAGTTAATCCTTATAGAATTTATACTTAATTATGGTTTCACTTAAGTTTATTTATGATTGACTTTATTTTGCAGGATTCAACGCAGAGAATCGTTAACCATTCAACAGTCATAAACTCTCAACATGAAAGCCTTCAATCCGCCATTACTACTACTACTACTACTACTACTACTACTACTACTACTACTAATGCTAACACGTCATTAGCATCTTTAAGTACTACATCAGTGAAACAACTCTCACCGTCACAGAGAAGAGGAGAAGCACACATTCACGATGTTCGTATCGATATGAAGTTAAGTATAGATACAAGCTATCCAAAAGACCGTTACACTAGGTGGAAATATCAAAGTAACACTGTTGACCGAAGTATACATAATAAAGCTCCGGTTGGTGTTAATAACCTTCCGAATAATTGTACTCCATTGTGTAAAGATCGTTCATTGTCCAGTAAGCAATTTACTTTAAAATAATGATCTCATAACCTTTGGTTTTTATTTTATCTGCATGTTTAACTCAGGCAGTGTTTTTCGACTATTTAGACGGACTACTCATGGCATGCTAGGAATGAGTATATTTAACGAGAAAACAGTAACATTTTCAGCCTACAAAATCTATGATGAAAAAAACGTATGTGGAGAAAATAAGTATTATCGTTATCATTTTAGATAAGTTTATTTTTCTATATAATACATTGATACAGTATCAATAGCTGGATAAAACTTCGATTATTCGTAAATCTGCCTGTGACAGTCATGTGAGTCTCCGAACAAGGAGAGCATAAGTATAATTGTTTTAAGAGTGTAGAATTTAAGCACTGGTAGTAGTAGTAGTAGCATATAATTCCATATCATCTACTATCGAATTATGTAACATAGTGTCCAAATTTTACTTTTACTTTGAATGGTTTTTTTTAAGCTGTTGTATCAGTATGACAAATTCACAAGTGTGACATGATGGATGTTTTCGTTTGTAGAGTTTAGTCCATATATTACATAATAATAATAATAATGTAGGCTATAGATGTACGCTGTGATAGTCTCATTTATTAACTTATTACATGGAGGATTTAATCATGAGCTGACATCAGTTAGAGAACCACTGGAAAACCTGGGAGTACTGGACAGCTGTTTCGTCCTAGTTTGGGACTCCTCAGCAGTACGCACCCACCGGGATTCGAACCCGGTACTGCTGAGGAGTCCCAAACTAGGACGAAACAGCTGTCCAGTACTCCCAGGTTTTCCAGTGGTTCTCTAACTGATGTCAGCTCATGATTAAATCCTCCATGCAATCAAACTAAATCCCTACAAAAACCAATACTTGAAAATAACTTATTACAATTTAATCTTCAGCTAATGAACGTCAATTCCGATTGTATATAGATGCATCATCCTGTAACAGCAGTAATAATATATACGATGAACCGTCTATATCAGATTATAGCTTGTGTGCTGAAAGTTTTCTGTCAAATTCAAAACTGGAGAAATCTGGAGTTAGAATGTTTTCTCCTACGATTGTGGATAGTAGTCATGGTCATTCTGAGAAAAACAGTCTTCCTACAAAACCGTGTCATCGACCTAAAGGACAATCAGTTAGCTTTGATGACCGTCTATCGGTAAGTCATATGTATATGCGCATAACATTACATTTCACTGTATGTTTCCGATGCTACAGAAAATTACCTAGAGTACACGTGTATTCGTTTGTTTTTGTTTTCAGTAGTAAATACTGAAACTGTAGCTCTGTTTTCATCCTTTTAAAACTTGTCACTAGATCAACTGGGTGTTTACCCCTACAATCTTATCCCCTAAAAGCAACAACACCACTCCTACCAAAACCTTCAAACCTCGAAGCTCTACTTTCCACTCGTAACGCTAAGGAACGAGAAAAAGGCTCATATTTGAATTTAATTACTGTAGTTATATATTGAAATTATCATTCCCCCCTCACTTTTCTTTTTTTTCGATTGTCAAAGCTGATTAATACTTGTCAATTTTCTTGTTGCCAGATGTTACTCATTTCCCCTTTCGTGTGTTTGATTTTAACACGAGTTTTTGCTGTGTTTATATTTCTCCCCTTTAGACACCTCGATATACTCAGTTACCTGAAACTATGGTTAATGCTTTCCCCAATGATGGCAAATCAGTTAAGTAAGTTAGTTAATTATGATAAATCAACAACTAACAAAAACAAAACATTGTCTATCTATCTATCTATCTATCTATCAGAATTCATCTTCAAGCCATATTCGTTTTACCAGTTTACGTGTTGCATGCAGTAAACAGTATGTTATGTATTGGTTTATTGATTTAAAAAAGAAATCAAAAACAGACCAGCTTACACTCAGGGTTGAGGTGCCCGAAAAAACTTGACTTGACTCTACTTCATTGAAAGTGAAAGTTTACACCAACAATTTTTATTTTACACCTGTGTATCAGTGTGTGTGTGTGTGTGTGTGTTTCATTTCACACAGGAATTAGCAGACGCTATTAATAAGTACCTTTTTTAATTTTCCCCTTACTTGTTTCTTCTTAAGTTTAATAGAATTCCAGTTTGAATTGCAATTTGAATTCCTATTTGTGTCCTGTGTAGTAAATTTTCAGATCATATGTCGGTGATTCAATGGTAAAATGCTCACTAGCCAGATCCCAAGTTCGACTCTTGGCCAACAGACACTTAAACCTCGTCTAGCATATAGTTAGTTGCCTCGGAAAATAGAGCAGGTTAGGCTTAAGGATAAGAACCCTACCGTGTAAAAGAACAACACCAGTAATGGAACTTCAAGGCTTAAAGCTCTATACTCCACTCAAAATGAAAGGAATGAATGTGCAGATCAAAAATACATTGAAATTTTTGATATTTTTTATATTTATATGAATGTATAACGGTCAGTTGGTGTGCTTTTGGTCTTCGTCTTCCATAGGTTAGTTGCTTGATTTTGTTTGGAATATTTTCTGTCAACGTATTTTTAAGTGGACCAGTTATTGTAATTTACCCTTCGCTGTTGCTGTGTCTCCATATTTCGTGATCAAACTCACAAAATGTTGAAGTAACAATAATAATCGGTTAGAAGCTGAAGTGAGATAATAAATATTCATTTTCAAATGTCATCACTTCGTTTTCATACTGAAATGCTGCAGTTAACCAGCATGAAGATTTCTACACGAACGAAAGGCATTTTATTCTTCTACACTCTTGCCTCCCTAGTTGCCTACACACTAGTGAACTGATTGATTCTTACCATAAAATCACCTCGTAACTTCTTTGTGTCGATTAAACACTATCTACGAGTGATAAACCGGAACCATTTTTAGTTTTGTGTGATGAATACAGGTAATTTTATTCTTTTGGCTTCTCTGATTATCATTAGGGTAATAAGAGATCGTTCAGTGTATTGGTCATTTAAAGTGATGCGTGTTTTCATCTCCCCATGTGTTGCTTTATCCACATTGTAGACTGTAAGGCTATGTCATGATTTTATGTGAGAAGATCTAACAGGGCTCCACTGTTTTATTCTGTGTAAGTAGAAGTATGAGTCTTTTTTAAACCTTTGATGAGTTGCTTTCCCTTGGTGATTCTCTAAACGCGTTAATTTTTGGATGACTCACTTCGACTTTTCATGGGATAGAAATACCCTGAACAAATATTCTCACTTACTCTTTATCAAATCTGTTACATTCTAGTGGACTTCGGATTTCTTGAATACAGCTTTCCAAATGCCTTTCTGCTGAACATTAAAATTTGACTGTCATTCTAGCCCAGTACTCTTATCTTTGCTTCATTGGCAAGACTTGCAAACAGAACGAGAAGTAGATCCCGTAGATGTTGCTAAGCTAATGTGTCCGTGGTCCGAATCCTACTCCACCCATATAAACTGGAACAAATGATTAGCATCGTTGTCTCTCTCACAATAAATGCAACTCATAGCATGATAAATTAATGATTCCTTATTCTTTCTGAAAATTAGTAAGTCTGCATATATAAGTCTTACAGAACATGTTTTTCTTCATGTTTTTCATCGGAAATTGTTAATACTTCTTGACTTCATTTTCTCGATAAATAAATCGACACTCCCCAATAGCTAAAGAAACTGGTTGCAATGGTACATCTACTTTTTTTAAGTTATTGTGTCACCAAAGCGCTTATAAACCTGTTCGATAACAATTTTTAGACGTACATTTAGATGATTTTCCATTTTTTTCAATATCACTATTCCTTCTTCCTAACTCTATTCTACAAGTACTTATCACGGATACTATTTTTAGCACAGAACAGTCCTTGCTCAGCTATATTGCAACCACCTTATGTAGATTTCCTTATCAAAGTTCTTAGCTACGTGGATCTGTGTTTCATCGATCTAGACGTTTGACTTCTAACCGGTGGATCAGTGGTTGGAACCCCATTCCACTCATCAAGGGTAGTATCACTCTAGCCCTTACATAATTGGTGTGACTCAGTACTACTGGTATGGAATGGCAAGTTATTATTGATTAACATCCCATTCCATTCATTCTTAGCCATTATAATGTTTGGCATGGATGTTTATACCCTTATTTTTTAATTAAAGTGTCTGAGAGCCAGCTTTTCTCTACAAAAAATCTTGCTCTGACTCTCAAGAAGTCTTTTTATTGTTACCGTAGCTTTTATATTTTACTATATTGTTTGTCGAAAGTGATTTATTTAGCCTTTTTGCTTAATTGTTTTACGAATTTCGTCTGTTGGACCTTCATTCTTCAGGACAAGGTTATATGCTTACTTACATGTCAGGGCTTATTATTCGATGGAGAATGGACTGAACTTTTCATTCTTCATCTTTTTAGGGGAAAACGTTTAGTAGATATTTTTTTTCTCATTGGTGCAGACAACTGACTAAACGGGTCATATAATGATTAGCGAAATATTCTAAATCTGCGACGCCACTTATGCATATTTGAAGAGATAATGACAGACAAGTGAATATTTTTCTTGTGACTATAAATTCAACGCGGTGTGTTTGATTTCTGTATCTCTGTTTTATTTCTTCTACTCCGTTTTCTTCGTGTATTGATGACATGTTGGTACTATTCTTAGCTCAAATGGAAATTGAATTGTACGAATTCTGATTCAAATGGATTTTACCATTACCTTAATTATCCATTGTATGTTTAATATTAGCCGTCTCCTGCGTTGCATATATGTATATCTCACAGACGCAGTATAGTCTTTGTTTTTCAAAATTATTATTCCACTTGAGTATCCAGAGATTCATTGCACTGAATGAAATAACGGTATTATGAAGACACTTTGTTCTTTCGCCTGTCCTTGTAGCTGATAGGTAAATGCATAGTGTTCAGTCTAGAGAGTATTCAGAGATTTCTGAAAATATTGACCGTGTGATCTGTTGTGTTGTCATGTAAGCTTGTGTTTGCTGTTCAGTATGGCGTACTGAATCAGTTGAAAAAGTGCTTTGTTTTTACGAGTTTGATCACGGATTGTTATCAGTTGGAGAACCATTTAAAACCATGGAGTACTGGGCAGCTGATATTAATTTGAAAACCAAGGAGATCTAGATATCCTTATTTGAGTTTAATATTGCCAGAATATTAGGTAGTAACGCTGGAGTTATATTGTCGGTTGAAGTAAACATTTATGAGGCTCTGTGATAATGAACTTTAAGATACTTCGTTTGATTCCTGTTGGACTCAGAGGTGGCCATTATTGAAGAGTTCCAAGGTAGAACAAAATAGCTCTCCATTACTCTCTGGTTTTCGAATGTTTTCTTACTGATGTTGATTACTGACGAAATTTCCCTTGAAATCAACCAAATCCTCATAAAACTACTACATACCAATTAACCTGTTTAAGTTGCCTAGATGTCCCGTAAATTAACTTTTTTTTAACTATACGCACTTGAGAAATATTTGTACAGGGAGATGTTAAGACTTTAACACTGTCCTGCGTTGCACTTAGTTGCCAGAGTTACGAATTGGCAACAGGGCAGCTCATCAAGAAGTAGCAGCAGAAACTGTTTCAGTTTATTATATAAATAGTATGAAATAATAGTTTGAGAAGGATAGACGGAATTGAGCAAGATCGGAATGAATAGATGAATGTAGGATTTCTTCGCAGCTATTAATTGGGATTGGTTCTGTGTCCTGTTATCTGAAGTGTATGTATATATGTTTATATACGTGAAATCTATTAAGACGGTGTAAGTGTTCAGAGAACTGACAATTTCACGTTGTAGTCTGCTTTGGCTGGCATGCGATTGTTGGCATTGTTCCACCTCGATCTCAACTAAAGTAGCACATTGCATCTGGTAGAATACATTTTGAACAAAATACTAAAATATCTGTCCACTGTCGCTAAGGCCTACAAGTGTTTTGTCGTTTGTATATAGGATATTGTGTTTCTGTACTCCATGTGGTAAGCGTGGCCAAGCAGTTTCGCTCATAAACATTTAGTGTTGACATTACATTATTGGAAACATTGGAAGTTAACTCTGAGGATGTTACGTATGTATGTATGTATAGGGAGAGAGAGAGAGAGAGAGTGAAAGCCTTACGACTAAACCATCCAGATTAGAGAACGCAACAACACCATTCACCTAAATTTTTTATCATTTTAAACATTTGGCAATCATCCTGTGAATGCTTGCTAGTGTATAAATAAGCACTGTTGTTTTTCTTTCTCAATAATACTATCATTTTGAAGGAAAAAACTACTTGGCACTTACGTGAAGTGTTACTCTCATTTTGTTTCATTCACACTATTATTTAGTGTATTATATAAAGTTTATTTGCCAATAATATAAAATTAGTCATGAAATGCCAAATTTATTATCTGCTATCTATCTATCTGGCTAGTATCTTTTGGATGTAATGTACGCATACGCTAACTTCCTATTGTCAGTTATTTATGCAATCTTTATCCCTTTCCCTATTGTATTCACTGCATCTATTGTTTATCTGCACTTCTTTGTATGTATGTGACTGGATCCAAAAGTCATTTTCACACTTTGTATTCACTATGGCGCGTGATTATTATACACCGGTCAAAATAAAATGTCGGTGATATTGGCTGTGTACTCACTTAGTACAATGTATGAAACTTAGTTAAGGTTTCACTCTTCCTGATGCATTCAACCGATATACTCAACTGGGTCTGTTTGCATTTGCAGTAGTCTGCACGTCCATGAAGTAAAAAGAGGCCTTTTTCATGATCAGTTTTAAGATTTTTTTTATTGTGTTCCTCTTTTTTCACTTACACAAAATGAGAAGTTAACTCCACTTGGCTGCATAATCACTTTCTCAAACGGATATGTACATAATCATGATATTTAATTAACTGGAAGGGGTGGGGAGGCATTCAAGATTGGTGATATGACTAACTGTCTGCAGTATTTGACTTACAGTGGATAAGTTCGAGTTACGAATTCCATTTCATGTATTGGAGCTTTAGCGACTGGGTTATGCCATTGCTTATGATGTTCATAGCCTGCATGGTACACTTAAAATTTGTACCGGTTGACTGAGTTCTAATATTCAGAACTGTCTGTTATTTGCTTCAATGTACTTGTTCGGTAATCAGGAGAACCTTATGCTTTCAACCTCAAGCATATAGATTTCGCCTTCTGGTTTCCTTAAACTTTGTTAGCATATACTACTCTGTGGCTTTTGAATAAATGTAAAGTAATTACTGTTGGCGAGACTATAGTAAATACTTTTTTTGCATTGCATTTTGTCTGATGTTTGAAGTGGTAATAGAAGTCTGGATTTCAACAGCGACAGTCTACCTGTGTTGAATGCATTTCACATTTCAATCATCCTTTGACTAATGATGTATCTTAACGTAAATCATAGGGCACTTGTAAAACTGTTTAATCTAACTTTCTTCTTTTTTTGTTTTTCATTCTCTAATAGTCAGAGAGAGTTGACATCTCCACGGCTTCTAATCAATTCCAGTTCAGCTTTCTGTCCTCAATCAGCAGTCTTATCTGCTCCACCCAATCAATCATTTTCTTCAAGTAATATCGCTTCTGCAACTACAAACGAATTTATGCATACTTTCCGAATTGGTTCTTCAATGCGTAGATCAGAAGCCAGTTGTTTAGAAGGATGTAATATTTATTCACCGTCGGATGTGCAAATAAAGCAATGCTCTCCTAATTGTGTAGGTTTTGTTGTCTTATGCATTTATATTCTCTGTTTGTCATAGTATTTCATCTACGGGGGTTGGGGGTGGCGGTGGGCAAAGCATGTTCTTAACGGAATTATTTGGGATGTCACCACCAAGCCTTGTAGTCACGCACTCACGGTCACATATCCAAAATCAAAAATACAAAACAGATTCTATCGTTATCATGAGCTACACATCTCAATTATTTCTTATTGAACTAATGATCTGCCACTGCTTGAAGAAAGTATATCCTTTAAGTGTCATTGTTCAACGCATAAACATCAAATGATAGGTATTTAATCATCCTCGCCTAAATTACCGCGAAAGCAGCTATAGCAATTTGTGGCTTGCAGTTCAGTAATAGTATGGTCTAAAAGTTGTATCTGGACTATCATACAGCAAACAATACTGCAATATTGTATGCTATACTAAAGAAACAAATCCGACATAGTTATACCTTCCCATGCTGTCATGGGGTTCGATTGTCTGTTTTAATTCAAGGTATTTTATCTACTGATGTAACGATAGAAGACAGGGGCCAGGTAACAGATTGTTTATTGGTAAAATCATGGGGTGTTTATAGGTTTTTATGTACATTATTGTTAGCGGAGAAGCAACCTCCTCTGATTGGTTTTTTTGCTGAGGGTTATTCCATTATCTCTTGTGGCCGTTTCTCAGAAAATCAAGCCATATATCTGTGACTCATATTTACCCACGTTAACTCCTCTGTGATTGGCTGGTGATTTTCTCAAGGTTAAGCTGTTATTGTTTTTCTCATGACCCTGATTGGGGACGTAAACATTGACGTAAATTACTTTCACACTGGGAGTCTGTATAACAGGCATGATGATTTTTCCCTTTACCCACCAGTGAAGAGCTTGAATTTAAATTCTAACCGTCACAACCGGTAATCTCAAATGATTCAAACATATCGATTAATTTTGATGTGGTTTTGTTCTCTGAGCTGGATGGTTAATTTGCGAAGCTTTCATCACCCTACTGGGTGACATTTTCAGCGCATACTTCAATTTGAATTAATCCATAGACTTGATTTCGAAGCTTTCTTGTATGAATCCCGTTCTCTAATCAAAAGTTTGCGTCATATCTTCAAAACCTCGAGAATCTCTCAGTTATACCACGTTAAAAGTCAACAGAAAATTCACCTGGTTGACCTTAAGTCATTCTTATGACATCAAAGACGTTGAAATATCAGTGTAACTTTATTGTTATTTAATCGTTAGTCTCTATGATGGTGATATAGTTAGTTGCACATTACATACCACATGCAATAATATTCGGTCTCAACAATAATTTACAGTATACTGCTATGTAATTATGATTAAACTTCTAGTTTTAAGTAATTCATTTTTGGATTTAGGTCATTTCCTGTGTGTTGTGGCAACTCAATACTTTATCCTTTCGCTTCACTACCATTTTATCCTACAGTAATAAAAAGTTATACATCTGAGGGATAATTGGCTATTTTTAATTCATCATTAGGTCAAATAATCTTTCTTTTCTCTCTTATTTCATCTTCAGGACATTCCACTAATCTTTATTCATTAATTCACTGAATTAACTTCACTGTCATAAGTATGACTGAGCGAGCAGTAAAGCGTGATGAATACTACTTTCACATTGTTAACTCGTGCCTATTAGATTTCCGTGAAATGATGACTAACTTCTCTTATTCACATCGTCTACTTTATGATGTTGATTAGTTGTATTGTTGAACTGTAACATCTAAAGTTTGAGAGCATCTTTCGTGTTCATTGGTAAAATTAAAAAAGGTGGTTTATCATATACAGACTTATCACAGAAATATAAAAAACACTCAGTAATTCACTGGTTCATGTTGAGAGAAACATTGGGATATGCATATGCATATAACTGACAAGTTTTGCACAATATTGGTGATCATTGTTCAAGTGCTTTACTGTGTTACATATAGAGCACGGTTGGTTTCCTTCCACTGAGCCAACAGTATTCACCTGCGTTCTATCTCCCGTGTGAAGTGGTATAATAAGGTGAGCAATATTGCGGTGAGGCAACTGTCGAGTGCTAGGTAGGTGGGAGGGGAAATCAATCGACGAGGCTGTGAAATTACATCGACTGAGATGCTTAGGACATGTGTTACGTATGCCAAGTCATCGCCTTCCACGACAATGGGCAATGTTAACTGATATAGGGTCAGGCTGGAAAAGAGCTAGCGGAGGTCAAACATAAACATGGCACCAGTCAATGAAATCTACAACAGTTAGTCTAAGCCAGTCACGTAGGAAGGTGTAGACTTCCTGACCAGTTGAGATCCTCGGGACGGTAAAAACCAATGGTTGGAAACAATTGGTGACATGGCTCAAAATCGTTCTCAATGCATAGCGCAGATGCATCCACTCCTTGTGACTTATGATTTCCAATGAAACTGTTTTGTTCTTCGTTACTACTATTCCTTTGTATCACACCTCTGTTTACTTTCTCTATTATGCATTTCTTCTACTTTCTTCTCTTCCTTTGTGTGCTACAAGGAGGGAGTGTGGCGACTTGAACTGGCGTACAAATGTGCAAAGTTCAATGTCAAAAACAGACAGACAGATAGTATTCACCAGGAATGATGCACAAAACTCCGTTGTCTGTTTAGACAGATGGACGATTGTTTCTGAATGCTGTACTCAGAACTGATCGCAGTAGAATGTTTCCTATAAATAAACGTTTTATTTGTTGAAATTCCTAAGCTGTAGCACAACTTACAGACAATTATGTGTCAGTGCTCTTGTATTTCATGTATTTCACCGATCGTCAGTGTGTATATTTTATAGTTGCATCAGAGCTAACTGTTAACAAAGGTGCATTATTTTAACAACTGTGAAGCAAGACACAAGATTTTCGAATGATAAATGATGTCTGTCAGCTAGTTTTTATACAACTGTCTTAGTTTCACCGATAAAAATGACTTAGTCGTTATTTTGTTAGTTTCCCTTCTGACTTGAATCATCCTGGATAGACAGATCGATGAAACAGCCTCATTATGGATGCACAACAATACGTTAAAAACATTCGTTACTCTAATACCTTTCGTCTTTACCGTATGTTTGTAAACTCCAGTCATTGTGAAGTGAATATGAATAAAGTGTTCTTCTTGAAATCTATAAAAGCCGAAGGTAAAGTTTAATAAAAAATTAATCAGACTGTCATCAGCTTCTGATAAATCACTTTCTGTATTTCGTCTTTTGCTAACGCTGCTACTGGAAGCGAAATTAAAACCTATTGTAAAACGTAATTTAGTAATAGCTCATTTCCTGGGCTTCGTTGTGTCAACTACAAGCGGAACGGATGATTGTTAAGTTGCAACATAATTGTTACCATTCCCCTGAGTAATTTACCTCTACTCATACAGCTTTGAAGTTTTTCTCCTTGAATCAAAGCACTGACTGAATCACCTATTTCTTTTAAAAAGTCATTTAATCACATGCCGAGATTGCAGGAGTTTGATTAATTTCAGTGTAGATTTCTTTACATACTGATATTAACTGGGGGAGTCATTGATCCCTGGTATGTTAATTGGTATGCACTTGTAAAAAGCCGAAAACTAGAACGCTCTTTGTTTTTCAATAATGCTCAAATTTTCATCAGTTCATGACGAAAGCTCCACTGAGCTTCTTTTAGTATTCTAAGGTATATGGTTGGACTGTTTGAAATCAGCTTGGTTCATAAACGTAAATATTCTCTTGCGTTTTAGAATTATCGCAAAATATCAAGAGATAATGTTGTTTGTTAGGGTTCCCAATCATGTCTCTGCTTCTGCATTCCAAAAGCCATTAATTATAGTCTTGTTGAGACTCCAGTTTTAGCCTGGACCTTGGTCATTATCCCGTCACAACTGCTTATTAGTCACAAAGACAGACACATGGTGAAACCTCTCCCTCTTTTTAATTACATAAATAACTGTGTGTAGCTTTTGAAATACAATAAAGTAACAAAGGGTAAAATTGTGTCATTTTTTCCTTCTTTGGTTGATTTGATGTGAATTTGTTGATTATGCTCTGTTTTATCGTGTATTCTATGTTCTACTTATAAATTTTCTTCTAGATGTCAGTTACTAATCCCCATCAAGATCATCATCGCTCTTCTACACCATCCTGCTTCTCAACTACTACTTCTCCGAATCAATCGTCAACTTTGCTGGTTGTTGGTGGTAGTAAACCTCCGAAAACCTTCGTACCAACAGTCTGTGTATTACCTGTATCCAATCGAGGCCCAGTTTGTGGAGCCCCGCCCACAATTAAAGCTAAGAACTCCAGGTTAGTGGTTTACGCAGTCATGTTGCATTTTTATAAACCCATAAGTGGAGCTTTTGATTTAATGCATAATATCTTTTGTTTCTCCAAACGCTGTGTGTGTTGGTGGCGCAACGGTAGAGTGTCTGCCGACCACGCAAATGGTCCGGGTTTCGATCCCCGGCCGAAAGACTCCTTTACGTGCGAAGCCAGGAACAAGACTGGTAAAGTGGAAGATTGGGGATGGGGCTACCAACCACATCCTGCAACAATTATCACCATTGCTGCAGAAAATTCAAGCCCCTGGCTTGAAGCCCTTGTTCCGCCGGGAACGAAGAGTAATTTAGAAAAACCATCGCACAGCTAGTTAACTGAAGGATATATATAAAATTTAAAATTTACTTTACTAAAACCAGTGACATTTTAATAGAGTTAGGTAGAATGGATATGGTTGTGAGTACTTATTCACCAGCGAAACATCTCTTCACGTCAGCTGATTTTTCACCATCTCATTTACATTCTGTCCGACTGAGTTCCATGAGTACATATAATGTCTTTTTAGTAAAAACAAAATCTAATTAAAATAACGCTTGCATTAGCTTATGTATATGAGAAGGAAGCTGGTGAAATCCCCACAAAATAGTGACTTAGTTTACTGATCTTTTGTTTCCAATTCATTGCATAGATACTGTATGGTGATTTTGACCTTAACAATCATTTTAAAGATTTCAATCAGTGTACAAGTGAACTTCTTGACAAATTCAGTCTTTTGGAAGATCAAAATCTGATTTCATTTCTTTCTTTTCAACAAATGTAGTATGTTCCTGTATTACAAATAAGGAATGAAAAAGATAAAACATCTTCTCCCCTTTCTCAGAGTAAAACGCAGCTCAATCCACTTTACTATTCATAATTTTATAAGTAGTTGATTTTTGTTTGTTAAACAACGTAGACTTGCACTCATATATGTAAGTTTAAATGCAACAAACAGATTTGAGCTTTGGTTGCTAAATAAACTTAATTGTCTTTTTTTATTCTATTAACCTCGGAGCCTAAACTCCTAGGATTTATTTATATATTAAGCAGAGACTAAGTTTGTATCCTTCATTCTGACTAACTACCGATGTCTGTACAGTAAATTCGCTGCATATTTGGTGTTAATTCAATTTTGACTTTCCCGTCGGTCGATTGAACTGCAATGTTGACTTGTAGGCTGGTTGCTTAAATCGTCTGTTGGATAACATCTAGCCGTTTAAAACGATGGGCACTGGGTCCGAGTCTCATTTAGAGGACCATCATTCACTGGGGAAGGCAGGTATATACAGTTGATGTATCCCAACTAGGATGAAATGGACATTTTGCATTCCACTGCTAGTCGCCATCCATAAGTTCAAATTACTTCAGATTTGCTCCATCTTATCAGGTGCTTATCCTCCTATTTAAATTAGTCGCCGAAGAATCCTAAAGAAAATTATTTCAACGACAAGTATTTTTCTCTATTTATTGTTTCAGAGATTGCTTGGATTCATACGCTACAAATTCACGAGCTTCCAGATCAATGAATGATTTAGTCACTAAATCATCGTATACAGATATTCCTGAGGCTAAGACAACTGATGTGAATTCAATTACCATAAACAGGCACACAGGTTGTCCGGTTCGAAGAAGATATACAACATTCACTACAAGTCGTTTCAATGTCGGCCCCAGACCTGAACCTTTAAACAGATCGCTTGTCAAACAAACTCAATTCACTTGAGTACAGTTCAAAGTACGTTATATCTTAGCTGTTTACAAATTATAGAATTTTCTATGCTGCTGGGTTATTTATTACACACATAGTGTATGTATGTGTGCATTATTACCCTCGTTGTTATTATTATTATCATTATTATTGATGGTGAGACTCTGAGATATTGTTGGGTTAGGGTGGTAGATTACTTTTGATTTAATAGATGGTGATTGAAAGCGAAATGAAAACGCTGGTCGTGATAAGATTTGAACCAGTTGGCTCTAAATCATTAGTCCAACATGGCGCCATCTGAATTACAGGACCCAGTTGATACCCACACTATCGTTCCATTAACAGTACTATTATTATTATTATTATTAATTAGTATTCAGTTATGTAAATTAACATATCACTTCACCCTTTTTATACGTTAAGAGTTATTTCTGGCTTTTGACAATAGCTCAGTTGAGTGTTCGTTATGCATTACATTCTGTATTATGTACGAGTACAGTAGAAATATAATGCAGTTACTACTTAAGCGCTTCTAATTTTCATTGTCAGTCAAGTTATTGCGCATCTCTGTGCTTAAGCTTCATTGAGAAGCTGAGCGACTGGCTTCACAGTCGTCCCACAAGCCATCCATACCTGCCCGATCAACATACACTCCTCTGTGAACAGTGTTAACTATATTAGGGTCAAGCTACAAATTGTAAAGTAACCATTAAGTAAGTGATTTCAATCAATGTTGTTTCATAATGAGGCAGCGAACTACACCTTATCTATTTGCTCTATTTGCTCATTCTAGTTTACTTGTGAGGAAAGCATTGATCGATATTGAGTGAATTTAGTGAGAAGACGATTAATTGACTGTAGTTAGACAGTGGCCCTGTTAAAACATTCATAATTTGTTTTTCGTTCTTTAATCACCATTTAGAAAATCTTAATTAATCCTCTAATGATGGTTTCTTCTTGGTTGACTCTTGACGTCTAACATCTAAGCAAAAAGGAAATTCAACTAGTTCCAGTCCATTAGTCACTGTTTTACAGAAACATTTTAGTCAGTTACTGACTGGTTCCTGGGGGGATATTCTGAGTTAACACTCAAATGAAAACACTGCATTTTTCGCTGAGACTGTAGTCTTATGTCTTCACGACACTGGGGTAAAAACTATGAGCGATATAATTGACTAACAAACTGTGTACAGAAGGCATCCGGTTCAATGTCTTCTTACAATTTATAAGGAGAAGAAATACCGAATAATACCATGTTGAATGAATTTGAATGTGGCAGAAAAAAGAATGATTTGTATAATGACGGGAAGTAAATTTATATACATGCCACTGTTAAAAGCATTTCCAGACATCTTGAAAAGAATCCACGACCACCGATTCGTAATATCCTAAGGACCACAGTCTGTCTACTTCCAACTATGCTATCGGCTGTAAACAATAATTAATTCCTTTTCGGATGTTTTGATCAAACCAATCTTGACAATTGTCTAGCTTAATTCGACCTCAGCCAACATGACTGTTGTCAGGCTACAGACATACCTACCTATACTATTCAAACTTACTTAGACATTTTTCCCTATTGACAGGATCCATCCTTACACCAGTTAAGTTCTCCCTCAGTCTAAGTTAATCTGTGAACTGATAGTTCATTTCAAGAATTTTCGCTCACCGTACTAACTAACTAAATAACTGAAGTTCGTATATGTATATTTATTATTTAAATTCTTTACATGAACTATATATATATATATATATATATATATATATATATATATATATATATATATATATATATAAATGTATTCAATGTTGTATTTATCTTTCAGATGAACTTGACCTCCCACTGAACACTAGATCCCCCATCCCCCCCTATCGTATTGCATTTCCAAATTAAACATAATACTAATGTTTACATGTTTTTTTGTTCGTTTCTCTTTCATACTATTTAAAATAGTATCACTCACTATCTCCAACAATTACATTATATATTTTTGGGTCACTGATTACTGCCTATCTTTGACATGTGTATTTATTTACTATTCATCTATCTATCTGTTAACGTTCACCATATTTCATTCTTTCTTACAATTGCAATGAAATTTCCTTTTTTGTTTTGTATAATTTGACAAATCTATTTCAACTAGGCTGTTTATCATACCAAACACTTATTTTATTATATAGCATAAATGTAATACTCTTAACTATCAGTTGTACAAATATCCATCAGTTATGAATATTATTCGCTTCAACAGTTAGTTATGTACTGACTTCATTGTTAATGCGTTCAGTTTAGCCGCCTTAACACATGCACATGTGTATATGTGTATATTAGCACTCACTAGTGAGATAGATGCATTTTCAAATTCTACATTCTTTATAGATCATGTTAAAAATACATTAAGAAAAAACCAGGATTGAAGGAATTCCATATAAAAATGTACGTTGTTTATAAGCGTGGTAGCCGAAGGGACTTTGAGAAATTTCCTAGAAAGCAGACTCCTTATTTATTTTCTGGAGATTAACCAAATGTTGTCCAGCCAGCCAGCTACAATGCTATCTTAACATTTCGCGAATGATACACACAGAGTAGAGTGCACGGCTACTATGTCGTAAGTGAAATTCTCCGTGAATTAGTTCTGTCGTATAACAAAACCTAATGTCGTTTTCTTCAAAACTCAACTTAATAAAACTCGTCGATAACTTATGGTTGTGTTGGGAACTCCTTGAATACTCCTGTTGCTGCAATTACTTGTATGTGTAAGAAGTATTTTGAAATTTAGGTTTGTGAAAATTACTGTAAACAATTTAGCCGAATTTTTGTCAATGAGGCTTTAATCAGCTACAAAGCTCCTATCCCTACTACATGTTCTCCCATGTTTAATCGTTACAATAGACTGGTGATTAGAAATGGTAACTATGTCACTAGATGTGCACTGATCTAAACAGTCAGAGTGGCTGCAAGTAGTCTGATAGCATATCAAATGATGACAATGTTTCGTAAACAAATATCTGATTAGAGTAAAAGTAAGTAAGCATTAGATATATATCCAAATCATATTTTAGTCTGAAGAAGCTGCTCAAATACAAAGAGAAATGAGAATATATATATATATATATATATATATATATGTATTCACTTTGTATGAAAATCACGAAATGTATTGACACATTAACTAGTTATGTTATACTAACTTCTATGATACATGTATTCGGTAATGATTACACCCTGTGTAGGAAGGAGTCTTCAGCATTTACCTCCAAAAATATTGACAATGAAAGTATGTTGTTACTTATTGTTATGATGCTAGAACATTTGTCACGAGGTCACTGCTTAACTACTGACCAGTGCCCACTTAACTGGTAAAGCAGAACACGCGAGAATCAGCGGTAAAACCAGGTTCATTTATTATGACAAAAGTGACTGTATTTATACAGAAAATAAGGTAGACTGGAAACTAACCATCCGGTTGAGAGTTGGAATTGTGCAAGTGTCCAATCAGAAGCAGGAAAAATTGCATGTCAACGACTTGTTAATAACGCGATAATAACTTGACTGAGACATGATAATGACCTGATAATTGCATGTGTTTCGCCTCATCCTAACACTTATACATTTAATCGACCAAATATATTTAAGTGGGCTGAAAAGTAGATGTAAAACCCAGATGGAGGACAACAGCCAACAAAAAAAAGGTGGAGAAAAAAGTCGTATATCTGTTCAGGTCACAACCTATTGCATAGAACTTTTAGGATCCAATTGAAGACTCAAAGAAATTGAACATAGGCTACAGTTTAAGTTCAGTGTCAAGAAACTCAAGAACAAAGATGTAAAGGACACCATCTCAAACAGTAGGAAAAATTTCGGGACATTAAGAAACGTCAGCGAGGAAACCTGCGGTGCGGGACACTTGAGCTTTGTGAAACCTTCGTCGAGCGAAACCGTTTCAGCCAATCTAGAAAGGAAGAAGAAACAAGACAACGAGTGTGCTTTGTCGACAGTGATGTGAACTTCTCGCTAACATGTTTTAGTCTCGTGGATAGCTGATATGACCGAATAAACTGATCCGTGGGTATAATAATACTGACACGATAAACAAGTCAACTGATATGCTAGATACACCTATTCGTCTGTGGTAGCTTTCGCTTCACTGAGCTACGTGTATATCAAAAGAAGACACCGGCCCGTGACAGTTAGGAAACAATTTTATTAGGAAATACACGTCATCTTTGTATATTTCTTTACTATATCAAAACCGACCCAGGCCAGTGGAAATAGATTGCTCCCATTGATGAGCCATTTGGTTAATTAAGGTAGGCGAAAAATAAATATTCTCATCTGTTGGAGATTTGACGAAGACTTATTTGTTATTGTTTCATGTAATTATAATCCTGAGGAGACATAGTGAAATACAAATACATTACATTCCGTCATTTGATATTTATTCAGCTTCAGCGTTAATAAAATCAACTTCAGAATTGTCTTCTTCAAAATGCTACTCTCGAACTATTTTTTGAGGCATGTAGTTGGATCTTCGTCACACTTCTAGACTGGCTTTTACTTCACTTGTAAACGCATGCCTAATTAGAGGTGTATTTTCGAAAATCAACACACAGCTCACCAAACCATCTACCTTTTTTGCCATACTGCTGAACAGACTTAAACTGAATGAATTCCAGTGTTTTCATGTGGTTATGTTCTCTGAGCTGGATAGTTAATTTGAGAAGCTTCCGTCGCCCTACTAGGAAACATTTTCAGACGTCCATGGACGTCTTCCAAAAGAATGGATATTAACGCAATTTCATCAAAACACATATACCTCCAAGCCAACCTATCAAATAAAGACCCCCAAGGAAAGCACCCAGAAAATCGCCCTACCATGCTTAAAACACATCTCAGAAATCACTACAAGACCTTTCAAACCTTTAGGAATTGACGTCACACACAAACCAACAAAGTCACTTCACTCAATTCTCTGACAACCAAAAGACTCAACAGCGAAAGAAGATAAAACCAACACCATCTACAAAGTAAACTGTAACAACTGCGAAAACACTACATTCGCCAAAGTGGACGTCCCCTTCGTCTTCGTATCCGTGAACACAAGATAGCCGTCAGAAGACATCACATACACTCCCTCGTATCACTACATACAAGCAACCACGGACATCAATTCGACTGGGACAACGTTCAAATATTAGACAGAGGAAACACCAAAAATGCTAGAGAATTTTTAGAAGACTTCCTGGTATTCCAGTGAATTATCAATCAATAGACACATCGAGATAGGCAAAAATTACCAACCAATAAGAAGGAAACCTCACACACAAAGGGTCAAAGATCAAGTCAAGAAAACAATCGGTTCCAATCAGTTACAAGCAGCCTAGAGGGTGTGAAAACAAACAAAAACAACCTACCACATGCAAGGTCACCAGGAAAGATGACTGATAAACTCGTGGAGAAATCTAAAAGCTCACTTCAAATTGAAGTAGGCATTGAAGATGTTACCTAGTGGGGCGATGAAACCTTCCCGGATTAACTGTCCAGCTGCTCACGGAACACAACCACAAAAAGATCATCCACCTGAACCACAATTCTTCTCCATCCTGTATGAATTCCAGTATCTCAAGACTCCAATTTTAACTAGTCTTCAAATACTATACGAATTACTCACCTTGTAAGAGTGGAAGATTAGGCATATTCAGAATAAAAAATCAGCAAACTACACAAGTCCAATGTTTGGATCACTTTTGTATGAGATGGAAGCGAATGGAAAAAGCTCAGTATTTAACAGGATGTACCAGTAGTCACTTGAATTCCGTTAAATTATTTACCTCATCTGCGTCTATGATTTAAAAGTAGAATGCTTATCAGTCACGCAACTCGACGCACTTCCAAGCTTCACATGGTTTAATAGTTGATAATAAGCCGAGAGAAGAGGGAAGGTTGAACGCGACGCCAGGAACTCCACGTTATAAAATCAATACCACCGCTACTGAAACTTCAAAGTAGTCAGCCGAGTATAAAAACGGAAACGTGAAGGAATGGAAAAAACTTGAGTCAATTTATTGGGTAAAAACGCGGAGAAATAATCGTCAAGACTGTGTGCATGAATGCGAACAATCCTTTGTTAGATCAGTTAGGAATAAAACTACTTTATTGTGAACATTCCACACTACAAGCATTCCACTTTTCCGATTGGACGAGAATAGTCACGTACTAAGCAAGATGACCGAGATTTCACAAGCGAAACAATTAATCACTTTATAATAATGACTTTTTCGATTGCATCGATATAAATATATATTTCAAAGACTTCAGTGTAAAATTCTCTTCAACCTCAGATTAGAGAGGAAAAGAAATGTTCAGAAGAAGATACAGAATTCAATATATGCATCAAAAACATATTAGCAACTCAATGGAGATCTATGACATAATTATAAAACAGAGCAATATTCACTTCATTATAAATTGGTGATACGCGAAATTACTGTATATATCACTGCGTTTCTTTGCTAGTTTTGTTATGTGGCTATGAAGTCTCGATAACTCATACTATTACACATTCTTCAATTGTTTATCGCCACTATTCTTATTGTGACTTAATTCACAACATACCTCTCAAAAACGCTAAATACAAACCAAGAGACATCAGGAGATGTGCTGGCGCCAATAAGACGGTAGGTGTGAAACGAAAAAAACGTATTCGACTATGGAAGGAGAGGCTATCTTGCCAAACCACCAAAATAGGCAACCTTAGTCTATCGGAGGACAGGCGAACAATCATCCTCCGGAAAGAAAAATAATGTGAGGAGCAAATCGTGACGCTACGCATCACCATCGAACAGAGCACAAAATACAATCGACTCTCTACTTCAACTTCATCGACTTTGAAA